ACGATGTATCGGACGGTTTGTTCGGCTACGCCTAGTTCGAGGACCTAGAGTGTTGGGGGTGGCTTTGAAACTGTCTGGATGGAATTGATGGTATTGTGTATGCCATCTGATACGTGCGGATTGGGTTGATGAGGCTGTTTGTATGAAGGGGGGCTTGCCATTGGACGGTCTCGAACTGGTTGTCTGATCAACGGGATTTCTATAAGCTTCTAAATGAAAGAGTTTCATGATCGGGAGAGTTCGGATCATGGCCTATTGACAAGGCTGACGGTGGCACATGTACAATTCTACAAGTCGACTCGCTCCCCCGTCTCGTTTATGATACCAGGTTGTAGATCTGGAGGCGTCCTTAGCCCTCCTTGTCGTTTATAAACTCGGCAACGATTTGACAATGGTTTTTTTTTACCTAAAGCTTCATAAGCCAACCAGTCATGATAAGGCAAGCCATCTGCATTGCCGATGCGGTTACTGTCAACGCCACATGATCTATAGAAGCCTTGGACCAATGGAACAACAGCCTTGAATGTTGTTTCTCGGACAATGACGTTTTGACACTCAGGCTGGAAGAGGTTTGGAGTTGATATGTAGATGTTGTTTATACTAAAAGAGATGTATAGTATCATGAAAGTATTTCTTCTCGTCTTTCGAGATAATAAAGTAGAGTAAAGTATCATCCAAAAAATGAGGCTGAAAGGGGGAGAGGAACGAGGGGGGGAAGAAGAGGGGGTTGAAGCAGCTCGAAACTCTAACTGATGGCTTTCGGCTTTCCCCCTTTCCACATAGTTCTATTTGCTTCAAAATCAAAAGCCTTAAGCTTATCTTTGTGTTTAACCCTAAACCGGAGATTGAACCAAGAGCATCGTCGAAGCCTCAAAAGTCTAATTCTCCCATATAAAAGGAGGGCCCCCCCTCTCCCCCCTTTTCTTCTTTGCCTGTTTTTCTCCTTTCTCTCCCTCTAACATATTTGCTTCTTCAACACTACATGCTGCCACGGACTCCAGAGTAAGAACTTCTTCACCAGCTCTCCCAAGCAATCAAAGCTTGAAGAAGAAGAAAAGAAGGCAAAAGAAAAAAGAACAAAATCATCACAATGAAGAACCCGTCAGCCGGGCACGCAGCCCTCGTCATGGGCCTCGCCGCCAGCTTCGCCGCGGCCACCCCCTTTTCTCTTCCTCTTCCTCTTCCTGCCGACAACTCCTCTTGCACCACCACGAGCTGGGTTGACCTGGCTCCGCCCGCCGCCTCAGTCACCGCGCGTGCCGCCACGGCCGTGACGGTGACCAAGTACTCGACCGTCGTGTACCAGCACACGGCCGTCAACTGCGGCGGATGCGGCCACCTCGAAGTCGCCACCCGCGTGGTCCAGGACGCTCTGCCCGTCGAGACCGTCACCTTTGCGGGCGCGGCGACCATCACCCGCGGGTACTGCGCCGGCCATGGCTTCTTCCCGCTGGAGACGGGCGGCGCTCGCGTGAGGCGCCATTTCGAAATGGTGGACCCGCTCGAGTACGATGCCAACGACGGCGACTCGGGCGTGCTCATCCAGGGGGACGATGACGACGAGGACTGCGTTGCCAGCGTGCTGGAGGCGCCCAGCTTCTTTGACATGGACTCCACCAGCGTTGCCTACAAGACCACCATTACCCTCACCAGGACAATCGACTGCGGCAGCTGCACCAAGGCTTCTCCCGTTCCCGTTCCCGTCAACCCGCCGCATCCGGGCCCTTACAACGCAACCATGACGGTCGACATGCCCTTCAAGACGACCAAGCTCATCTGCGGCAAGACGCTGCCCACGGACGGCGTCGAGGGCAAGAAGAAGAAGCAGAAGCCCAAGAAGCCCAGCAAGACCAAGCCCACGCCCATCGTGACCGAGGCCTGGCCGCCGCCGCTCGAGGTCCACACCGTCTACGGCAAGGGCCGGACCACTGCCGAGTGCTTCTACAACTATGCCCTCTACCCGGATCGCCTCGACCACACCCGTAAGATCTGGACGTCGACCTTCACGTCTGTGGCGCACAAGAAGTGCGATCACTGCGGGCTGATTTGGTTCACGGCTCCGTATGATCCGCCCGTCCCCGAGTCGGTCTTTACGACCACTGTGTTTAAGAAGGGGCGCAAGACGGCGACGGCGATGGCTTGCTCTGATTAGGTGTATTGCGAGAGAGAGGAGAGAAGAGGCTGGGGGGATACAGCCTTGCCTTGTGACTTATAGCAATGCGTTGGTAATTGATGACCGACATTTTTGGTTTCGTGTACCTTTTGTTGAGATAAAAAGTTGTTTTCGCCGTCTTTTTATACCCTTAGAGTGCGTCCCGTTGTCGAACGAGGAGCAGCAGCAGCAGTACTAGGTCATAGTGTTTAATGTTTGATTATAATTGAAGATTCGTGTAGAGCGTTTGCCATGTTCATCTGTGTCTCATTGTCGTGCCCCCATTCAGGCTGTTCTCCGAATTGAATGTCGACGGCGGCGTGGCGCTCTTGGCCAGCAGGTTCCTCGTCACGTCGATGCGCCAGATAGCCGGGCCGCGTTCCTGGTCATGGCGTCTGTTAGACTCGACCCATGTGCGGATCTGGCCGCGGACTTCCTTGTTCGACGTGACGGTGATGTTGCCCGTGGCCCAGCCGTACATGTAGATGCTCAGCTTGGAGCTCTTGAAAGCGCCGCACTTGGCCACGTCGAGAGCCACCTGGGGTAGCCGTCCGTCCGCTACCGCCTGCGTCACCGTATCCATCGTCCACGTCTCTCCGAGGATCTTGATGGGGACTTGCAGATCATCAGGGAGTTTGTGAATCGAAAGCTCTGCAAAGCGTCTGCGGATCTCCTCGGTTGACATGTCGCGCGTGTCTACATCGCCAAAGGGCACCAGGAGCCTCCCGCGCTCCCTTTCCGTCGCGGTGCCGACGGTGGCGAGGACTTGGTGGAAGTGTTCTGCTGCTTCCTGCGTGCAGACGAGGGTGCGGCCCTGCAGGACGGGATACAGCGCGCGGACCATGACGCCGCCGTCGTGTTTCCCCTCTTCCTCGATTTGCAGCCGCGTCGTCTGGGCTTGCCACGGCTGGGGCTGCAGCTGGAGGTGGGTGATGTCCGAGATGAGGTCGACGAGGATGGTGTGGTCCATGTTCAGGGTGTCTGTCAGGCCGTCGAAATCGTTTCCGATGAGGTTTTGTATGGCTTCTTGGAGGGGAGGAGGCGGCGTTTTCATAAACTCGCTGCTGCTGTCTTCGACGATGATCTCGACTAGGGGGTCGACATGACATATCTGATCCAAGAAGACATCGACATCTTCGTTTTCTCCTCTGCTGAGATTCGGAAAGACGATGCGTAGACGGGGAATCCGATACTCGTGCCGGTTCATCTTGGCCGCAGCAACGAGCCGCTTCACCTGCTTAGCAAGAGGCGTGTCCTCCCACTCTTCCCGGTCGACGACGTCTCCAAGGCTGTAGTCGCCCCACGCCCAGCCGCAGTCGGTCATTTGCCGCGCCAGCCTGTCCGCCTGAAGCCACCGAATGTCGAGCCACTCGCTCCCTCCCCCGACCACGTCGACTTCCACCTTGGCCTGCTCCTTGAGGGTCCTGTTCACCCGCTGCTTCTCCCTCCCGTCGCCGGCAACCTGCGAGACTTGCCTCTTGCGCTCCTCCTTGGCCGACCCCTGAAACGCCTGGTCGACGACGACAAGGGAGCGGCAGCGCTTGAGCATGTCCCAGTGGACGGCGGCATGCTGTACGATTGTGGCACTGGCCACGAGCTTTCTGTTCAACAGATGCAGCCCGTCTTCGTCGTCTTGCTCTCCGTCCACGAGCTCGGACTCGACCAGTTTCAGGAGCTCGTGCTCCTTGCGGACTTTGCGGATGAATGCGGGCAGGCCTGTCAGGCGGGGGCTTTTGACTTTTTTTTCGATGGCCTTGAGCAAGGCTTCCATCTCGGATATGCATGCCTCACACGTAAGGATGTTCCTACGAGTGTCTCTCAACATCAACTGCTTGGTGGCAGCAAGGTCGTCATCTTGACTGTCAGGCTGGAGGTGAGGCCCTGTATCCTCCGGGGGTTCCAACCCCATGATGATGGATTTCAGTAGTACCAAGGACAATGTCTATCCCCGCACATGCTGTTTATGCTGTTTCAAGGCCAATGTCACGGCAATATCATGATATTTGCATAGCCCATGGAATCAGCCTTGCAGGAAGGGGCTCAACGAGTTGCAAGTTGTGGGTGCCTAGGTAGTTCATACTGTGCTACGGAATATTCTTCTGCCGGCGCCGAGCTACTTGATTACATGTACATACCTTATCTTACAGGTCAATTGAAACCCCAGAACGCTTCAGACTGCTTCATCCGTTGCGATATGACAGCCAAAGAACTCATGACACGAACAGGAGGATTGAGGATCAGTTTCTGTGAGAAACTCAAACTGGCTCATCACCCGCTTAGCCGAGAATACAAAACGGAAAGACATGCTCCCTGCTCCATTCTCTCGACAAGTCTACAGTAAGTACTATCTAAGTAGTATGGAATCCAGGCCCACCGACTAACAAGAGACGGCATCACGGCCTTGATTCGTCCACCGTAACAAGTGACGTGGTCCAGCATTTCACGCGCCTCCTGCGCAATTGCATCTGCATTGCGCAGACCGTTTCAAGTAAACACCTTGTACACAATACATCGTTTTTACATTCAGCCATCACCATCAGATCATCAGCTGCTTACCTACCTACTCAAACACACTTGGCCTCCTGCAGCTGTGCCCATCCATCCTCCGAGCTGCAAGTTATAGTAAGTTGTACTCCCTCCACATCCACCACCGACATGGACTCCTCACCCATCCCATCAAAAACTAGCCTCGCATTCTCTGGATGCATCTTTGCCACTCCCTCGACAATCATTCCCGCGAACAATAATGCCTCGTCTCCATACACCCCCCCACCATCTCAGCTCTTCCAAGGCACGACGAAAGAAGAGAAGAAGAGGGAAAAAAGGCCTCTTCGTCCCTTGCATATGCCGGCGTAACCCAAACCATTGCAACCCAACTCCCTCCTCCTCCTCCTCATCCTCCAACAGGAACAACACCAGCACCACCACCACCACCGTCAGGAATCCGCCCATCGCACTGCTTTATCCGCTCTAGTTCTGCCCAAGTAAGCATGACCATGACAACTCGACAATTCGCCAGAGCCAACCGGATCTCCTTCTCCACGTGGCTCGCCCGTTGAAAATTCAGGTTCTGTTTGTTGCCAGCTCATCAATGACTCGAGCCGGCATCCGATCACTCCGCTGCAGCTCGCCTCGCCTCGCCTCACCTTGTTCCTTTCCATGCATGTATCCCATGTATCGTGTGTTCACTTACGACATGTTGCATGCATTGCAGTACATAAGGTAGTTGTGCTGCAGTGAAACCTGTAACCACTCGGATCCTCTTCCATCGCACACACCCACACCATCCATGACCAGCTCATGGACTCGTATGCACAGTTGAGAAAAGAAGAGGGGGGAAATGGTTGATCTGTTCCTGGCTAAACGTCCGGTGCAATCGGAAGCCTTGGATGAAAAGAAAGAGAGGAAAAAAACTTGTAACCTGCATTAGCTCAAAGGCAAGCCCGGAATGCTGCAACCGAAGACGTCAGATCGGCGAAAGAATCGCCGAACCAAAAAAAGCTGTGATGAGTGCTGGCATTAGGTCAGAACAAAAGCAGACAAAAACACCAAAAGTGCCAAACCAAAAACGTACCCTAAAAGAAATCCCTTGACTATGAAAATCCGGGACCCCTTTCAACGTCGAATAGAAAAGGAGAGAGAAGAAAACCCCTTCTGGAGCCCTATTTAGAATACCAGAATAGGCAATCGTAGCCGTGAAGCAATAGGCAGACCGTTGGGACCAAGTCGTGTGTAAACAGAGGCGGACGGAAAGTAAGACGCCGTGGCGTTTGTTCTAGCCTCCTGTCACCAAGTCAGTCACAGGCACGGGAGACTCCGACAGGACAAATGGCTGTTTGACTGTAGCAGTGATTGGATGGCCATCAGCTTGGTGCAACGCCATACAACAGCTTGCGCCATTGTTTCAAACAAACTCAATTTAAGCTCAGTCAATCACAAGACAAAGCAGTCACATGAGCAGAATAAGATAAGAAGTAAACAAACGTCATATTCTATCAAGAGCATTAAACATCATATTCTATCAAGAACAATAAACATTTCCGATTATATATATAACAAGAACCGTAATATATATATAATAGTAAAAGATAAAAAACGGATTCAACTAACTTGCGTGCAGGTCCTTGTCCATACGTCTCTGTCATCGTTGGACAACCCGGGGGAATCCGTAAAAGCCACATACCAAACACCGTAGATTGTCAATTCTCCACGTTAAGAATTCCTCAGAAGCCGAAAGCATGCATCAAATCCCAGACCCATCCCAACTGCCTTTTTCCCTCTATAGCCCCCCGTCTCCGTTGTCGTCTTCCGGTGAAAACTCACAGCTCTAACCCTGGTAGTCAATGGTGACGACGAGGGAGGTCTTGCCGGGGGCAATGTTGAGGCCCAGGCCGTCCAGGGCCTCGGTGCCGGCGGTGAAGGCATTGTCGCCCTTGCCGCCGGGGTAGATGATGGAGCAGGTGCCGGCAGTAGAGCCGGTTCCGCAGACCTTGAGACCGGGGATGGTCATGCCGGCGGCGGCGGCGACCAGGGAAGAGGCGTCAGCGCCGGACCATCCGCCGTTGGACATGTTGCCAAAGTCGCCCTCAAACCAGGTGCCGGCGAACTGGCCGATGGTGGTCAGCGGAGGACCGTTGGGACCGCAGGCGCAGCCGATCTGAGAGTTGGTGTCGACGGCGATGGGCTGCGAGCCACCGGCGGGGACGTCAAAAGTGATGGCCTGGTTACCCTTGAAGAAACCGTTGATTCCGCCGTCGGGTCCGATTTTGTTCCAGCAGAAGCATGTCGTGTCGGCGCCGGCGTTCTTGAAGAGCACGGTGTACTGGTACTCATCGATCAGGCTTTCGTCGATGGTCATGATGTTGCATCCGTAGGTGCCGGCGCCGACGTTGCCCTTGTAGGCAATCTCAGCCTGCGTGGCACGCTTGCTGTTGCCGCTGCAGAAGGGCTTGACGGTCGCGGAGCCGGTGCTGCTGGAGGCAGGGGCAGCGGCGGTGGTGGTGGCGACGGGGCCCGCGCTGGTGGTGGTGGGAGCATCAGCGGGCTTGTTGGCCATGACGAAGTCGCCGCGGGCCTCAACGGCGGAGTTGTGGGCGCGCTTGTGGGCGTGGCCGCTGGGGTGGGCAGAGACGCCGAGGGCGGCGGCGAGCAGGACGGAGGTGGTAGAGAACTTCATCTTGGCGGTAGTGGTTCGAAGGTTAACGATGCTGGTCTATGTTGTATATCCAAAGGAGTGGGCGATCGTCTTCGATGTGTTATTTCGCACGAGGCCGAATGAGCGTTGGCGACTGAAGGGAGTGAGTGCCTTGGTTTATAGGATCGCGAAAAGGAACGTGTTGGCAACGTCTGAAAGGAACGCTGGCGATTGGTCTTGTCTTAAGGAATGACTTTGAAGGCCTGATCGAGGACGGTGAGGAGGAGGAGAGAAACAGGAAGGGGAAACGGGAGGGAGGACGGTGTTATTAAGGCACGACGGGCCAGGGGGGGGACAAAGCAATGGAAGCACTGGAACTCGGCGAGCAGGGGGGCAGGGGGGGGCAACACAGTGGACCTCACCGTCCTCTGCAAGCGAGCCGTGCTTCCTCAGGGTGCTCCAGAGCCATGCCCTTAGCGGGTGGCAACCGCCTGGCTCGTAAAAAGCGTTCAGGTTCCCCCCTAAAGGCCTCAACCGGCGCCCCATGAAACAGGCCATGGTCCCCTAAAGCCCGGCTAGGAGACCCCTGTCGGGGATGGCAGAAATCGGCGGCTCAGGAACCACCAGGAACCACCAGGTACCCGCGGCCTGTCATTGGCTGGGGCGCGAATTGGCGTGCATCTCCGCCGCGTCAGCCCACATGCTGCAGCAACGCCAAGTTGGACAAACTGGAGCTCTGCAGAAGTGTGGGCGTACGGAGAGCGGAGAATTGAAGGCATCTCTCTGAATCGTCTCCTTCGAACTACGGGTAAAAAATATGATTTTTTTTTTTTTTTTTTTTTTTTTTTTTTTTAGAGTTCGACGAGGCAAACAAGAAGATCCAATGAAGCTGTTGACGCACGAAAATCCTGCAGTCGCCTCCTCTGTGGGCGATCCACGCGTGATCCACGCATGGGTTCGTGTTTGCTTACATACATACACCATGTGCTGTGTGTGGGAAACGCTCGCGCCAATCTCAGATGAAATGACACTGGATGGGCCATTCATCATGCTCAATCATGGCTATCACCACCGGGTACGAAGCACGTTTGCACAAAGATGGAAACCTGCTTCTGCAGACCAAGGCCAATGGCAGCGTCAGTCACTCCAGCTGCTACGTGACGCTGCTACTCTACCTCGTACTCGTTACTCCAGTCATTACGTGCTCTTAACTCACCTCCTTGTTTCCTCCCAACCCCCAAGCCCTGGGCCTCAGATGCTCGGCGCTTGTCCTGCGAACGGTCAGTCGAGCTCCCAACATGAGACACCGTCTTTTTCTCTTCTCTTTCTTCCGACTCTTTTCTTTTTCTCCCACCGCTCAGCCCATCTCGCCGTATTAGGCGACACGCCCAACGGTCGGTCGCCCAGGCGCCTTCTGGAATGATGGATCGAGTTCCCCTCTCCTCCTCCTCCTCCTCTTCTTCATCTTCTTCTTCTGCTTCTCCCTTGCCTTTGCCCTCCCCCGGTTGCAAGGGGAAATGAGACACCCCTGTGCTTGTAATTTCGCTCAACTGCGGAATCGAGCCCTTTCTGCATCGGGCTACCCGGGGCCCGGAGAAAAAAAGCCAAGCCCAACGGCTAAAACAAACGACATTGGACAGCTGAAATGTCCCCAGCAGCCCGTACGAGTATGTAGGCGGTAAAGGCTGGCAGATTCCAATCATTTCATGTCGTTTGCCTCTTTTTTTTTCGTACGGACTCTCTTCGCGGCAGGCCTTCTTAGTCACATGCTTTTCTTTCACCGAGAAAAGCCTGTTTTTTTTCTCGCCTATATACCACAGCAAATCTCGCTCACCACTCGGCTGTCGTATTTTGCGCCTATTTTGCGGTGTTTGTACGGGGGTATCGAGAACATGGAGCACGGGGACACAGAAGTCAGATCGTAGAACTGTTTGACTCGTAATAAGCTGTAAGTCAGTGCCATCGTGTCAAATCGATAACGTCTGCTTGACTCTGATTGTCACTGCATCACATGCCGCCAAAACCCCAAGCATTCCATTCCAATCATCTTCCCATCCCGTGACACACGCGCCATTCTCACGCATGCATTGTCTACCGCTATAATTAAAACATGGCTTCTCCACGCTTTCTTGATCATTGGTACAATACGACATCTGTATAATCGGAACATGTCGATCGCATAACCAAAACCACCACCCACCGCCTGTAATATCCCCTCCACTCCCGCTACTATTCTTATCCCCTCCCCTGGCCTGGGATACTCCTATATCCTCCTCCTCGTCCTCCTATTACCACTAGTATCTGTATCCAAGTCAAAAGCATTCTCCCTAAAGAAAAAAACACAGCCCCCTTGGGAGAAAAGGAAATCCCAAATCCAAATCCCAAATCCACAAAAATTCAAGCCCACATACCGCCTCTCCGGCACCAGCCCCCCCTTACTCCCCAGCCTCAGCCTCCGATCCGCGTCAGCTCTCCCTTCCGACCCCCGGTTCTTTCGGCACTGCTCCTAACGGACCCAACATTCGACGACGAATATTTTGCGGCTTGTGCTTTCTTTTTTTTTTCTTGTCTTCTAGAAAACCCCCTTTACTATATGGTCACCGTTTCCAGAACGACCATCGTAGGGGGGGTTCCGCGTCTAAAAATGGATATGTGCTCGTGACCGTAGGTACTAGTAATCCGAAATGAGTCTTCCGAGTTCCGAGGAGAAACTGCCTTTGCACGCAATCACGCGTACAAATGTACATGCAGCTATTGTGCACTGTTTCAGACATTTTCATGTTCAATGCCACGTATATACGAGATCTGAACACCTATGACGATTATGCAGAATGTAAACTGCCATTGGTTTTGGTAACACGAGCAACTATCTACTGCCCTACCAAACCGTAACCATCATTAAGCCAGATGCTGGCAACCATGCAGAGGACGTGTCCAAGAGAGGCTGTATACAATGTCCAACCATGTAACAACGCAAAGGCATTCAAGTTCGCTGCGTAAAACTGACAAAGCTTATCAAGTTACAATGAGAGCATGTAGGGTATGTGCTATTCCAAAGACAAGACAAACCCCGCCAAAACCCCTCCCTGCATCCTGTACAGATCCTACAAAGTTCTTGACCACAATCGAATCAACCATTCTTCACGCCCTTACGCATAAACCAAGGACAAGAGGCCGCAGCCTCATCCTAGGTCAGGCCTTGTTGTTGGGTAAGGAGAGGGAGTGATGGACTGGACACCCTCAGCCCTCGGAGGCCCCCGTCTATGCTCTCTAGGCATATCCAACAACTGCTGCATGACTGCCAACGGCATCGCCTCCTCCTTCTCGCATGCCCAGTCCAAAACCAGCTGCACCACATTTCGAACCTCTCGATAGTTCAGGTCGCTGTCCGCCAGCCGACGCAAGCCAACATCGTTCAATGGAACCATTTGTACTTGGTCACGAGCCAGCGTTCGCGCAAGGCACTTTCGAATCAGGTTCGCTCTGCTGTGCCTGGTTGGAAACGTATACCTGAACGACAGGTTGAATCGCAGTCTGGGCGTCCCTTCCTGCGTCTTGAATGAAACGACAGTTAGCTGCATGTGTCAGATTGTCGCAAGGGAAATGCAATCACCTTGATTTGTGGCAAGCCTCCCTCGCCCCAATTGACGTGACCACCCTTGCAGGTGAAAAAGATCACCCCCTGCCCACGATAACTTGTGAGATGCTGTAGAATGACAGACGGCCAATGATGTTGCTGCGCTATTAGGCTCATCTGGCCCCAGAGGAAGACGACGTCGTCAACAAGCAAAACGGCACCCCAGCGGTGGCAGACCTCCAGCATACTCTGATTGATCAGTGCTGCGCTGAGAATCTCTGTTCTCACCTGGAAAGTGGCAACCGAAATCTTCATCAGGGGAACCTGCAGATGGTCGCAAAGCGCTTCCACCGTCAGTGTCTTCCCCGTGTCCGAAGGGCCATGGAGTAGAACTAGTTGATTACAGCGTTAATGCCATTGCACCCTAAAAAACAATCCCACAAGCCCTGCGCAGATCGTGAGCTGGTGCACTTACTGTTGAGAGCTCCTCTGCCGCCTGGCCCTGTGTCGTAGAGGTCAAGAGCCGGAATGGAGACGTGGGGAATCACAGACGTGCGCAACAGCTCCTTCGCATGATCCTCAAGCATCAAATAGTCCCAGGCTTGGCCATCCCACTTGACATCTTCAATATCATCCACGGGAAACTCGAGCCAACTCCAATGGGCAAGGGAATACCCAGCGATGGTAGGATGGAATATCATCGATAGCGTGTCCTTCGCCCCCTTCAGCCTTTCCCGCTTCTTCTTTTGGCACTCATCACATATACCTTCGGTGCCTTCGCCATCTTCATGTTCCATTTCCGCGCTTTGTGTAAAATTCCCGCTGTCTGTGTGTGGTCCACCGTCGTCAGCGGCCTCGTCTAAAAGCAGACCCAAAAGATACCGAGGCGATATTCCATTGAGAAGGAAGCCAGTGGCGCTTGTCTCTTCCTGCACAGGCACCCCCTTGGCCAGCTCGCGGGCCCCCTGAAGCAGACATACATTCTTCAATGTCCTGCCATCGATCATAATCCTGTCCTGCAGCAGATCGAGCTTGCCGCCCAAAAACTTCCTGTAGGCTACGCCAGTGAACGACTTGTGGTGGGCTATTTTCCCTTGCAGCGAGAGATATTTCTTGCCTCGCTCGATGAGTTGGACACGAAGCCGCGCTTCGTGTTCGTGATACTTGAAAGGATAGCACATCAGACTGACAATCTTGACCAAGCCAGTGAAGCGCTCTATCTTTGTCTCGAAGCTTCCGAATGCGAACGTATTGCCGTCAAAGTAGACAGTTCTGCTCCGAACAAGGTAGAACGGGGGTTCGCGCTGTCCACGCTCTACCTCTGGGCTTTCGTATCCTGCCCACGTCACTACTGACGCCATCGGTATCTCCAGGCTGTTGCTAATCCGGGAGTAGATGATTGTAGATGGGCTAAAGATTGCCCAAAGATGATCGTAGTCAATCAACCCACTGCCCAGCTGAAGCTGAAGCTCCTCATTGAATTTGTCATATTCAGCCTCCAAGAAGTCAATCAGAACCTTCAGACTCTTCCTGTGCGCAACGCGTGCCTCCCCTCCGTGACCCTAAAAGCAGGGGGTTCCACCGCTTGTTTGGCTTTTTGTCAACCAATTGTGATGGCTTCTCATCGCTTCCAAAGAGCTATCGAGTGGTGATAAAGTCAGCACGAACCAACCATGTGTATGGGAGTATGAACATGCAAGATTTGGTACACTCACTGAAATAAATGAGAGAGGGGGACAGGAGTCGTCTCAGCCAAGACCGCGATATGAGGATCGTTCACGAAAAGCAGTTGCAGACATCGTCTCAATGGTTCGCTCCAGATCAAGACACCCGCAACATGACAATGTATCTCGGGATCGCCGTCGTAGACAACGGCAAAGGTAGTGTCATCGTCTTTCCGGTCATCTTCACCGCCATCAGCTGACACCTCATGCTCAACAAAGGTTCTCCGTCCCGATGAATCGATCAGAGCCCGGAGGCGTCGAAACTTCAATGGCTCTGATGGGTCGCGAGGCGGAGCGGTATGTCCATCGAGGAACTTAGATAGGGTCAATGGAGAGGGCGACGCCAGGTCCGAGAACGAGGCAGCCGATCCAAGCACTGAGTCGGAGACGACAGGACTGACATCTCCAGCACTGCTAACTATGATTGCTGCGCGTTTATCAGCTCTATCTCTAACGTCTTCATCGTCCAAGGGAGTCTTGCGCTTCGACGGAGACCAAGAGAAAGTCATGGAATCTGTCTGGGCAGAATGAAGGCTATTGTAAGGCGTAAAAGTCCTCTCTTCTCGATCCCGAGCGTCCTCATCCCGAGGGCGCGGTTGGTGTTGTGCATTTCGGGAGGTGTGCTTGCTGGATGACATGGTTGGACTGGGAAGGCAATGGTAGACGTAGCATGTAAAGAACTAGACCTTTGTATCTCATTAATGAAGGAAAGGAAATACGGTGATGAAAGATAAGGTGTGTTTGATCAACGAATACAGACAGTATTGACGGGGTTGATAAAGGCCCTAGTTCCCAAGATGGAGGCCTGGAAACCGGAACACTGATTTCAAGATGATGTAAAGTTGGAACTGAATATGACGAGAGAGAAATGCTCTGTTCATGTAGTTTAGTACCTAAGAAGAGTCGTTTGAGTGGCAAGAGACGTGGCTCTTGGTGGTGCCTTACCTCTTGACCTTTCTCGAAGCCCTGACTTGCCGAATCTGTATGATCACACTTGCTCCATGTAGGGATTGCATGTTTTCTATAAGGTACCGAACCTACTCGGTAGTAGGTACCTAGTAGTAAGCCATGGCTTACCTTGCCCCAAGGTACTAGGTAGACAGCATCACCTGCATCTCCTCCCGATAAGATGCTGAATTAGCAGTAGATAACAACAGCAGCCGTCGTCTCCCAGGTGATGCCGTATTCGGTCTGTTGTAGAAAAGCACGGGTTTGGAAGCGACATGCACGAAGAAACAATGCAGGCATGACGCCAGCTCCAGTACTATCACAATCGGCGCTTCTCGTCCGTCACTTCTGCAGCACGATATCAGATGGAGACTTCCCATGCCAGACCCGCCGTTATCACACATGTACGACGATTGAATGCGGCTTCGGGATGCAAGCAATTATGCATCCAATGAATCCGTCCGTTGTCCCTCCTTGCTTCGTCCAGTCGCCGACGGCCATGTGCTTGCCCTGGTCTGTCTCATAGGTAGGCTGCGGCGCCCATGTTGCACGTACTGGCTCCATCAGAATCTGCAACGCATGTCAACTGGCGACTCGTATGCATGTCTCGACTCTTATCCACGCGCTTGAGAGCTTGCATCCAAGCTTGAGCGTATCAAAGAGAGAGAAGCAGCCGTTTGATACTAAGCCCCGGATCCGACACCGAAGATTGGGATAATACCCGACAGACAGCAGCGGGAGCACGACATCTCTGCTTTGCGGCCCAAGGCGGCGACCAATGCGAGACGACGATACGGCTGTTTAATCAACGGGCAGCAGTCGAGATGAGTGAAGTTGAGCCTCTGGATTCGGCCATAAAACACTCTCATCAACGCCTAACCGCCTGTTGGACCAATTAATTGCCCGAGCTCGCCATTTGAATCACAATAGAAGTGATGACCTCACTCATTTGGATGTCTCAACGGGTACATGGAGGCTACCTGCCGTCTCCCGCCTGGGCCGCTGCATCGCTGCCGTCCTCAGCTGGTCGCGCCGCCTCGCTAACGGCACTGAAGAAGCGCTAAAGCCTGGAACAAAAGTCGCTGCTAGGCTGCTACGGGAATGGCACCTGGCGGTCATGTTGCGTCATGCGGGGTGCTAGTGCTGCCGCCGTACCTCCCTAACGCCGATAAGGCCCTTTGTGGCCGCCAGAGCTGTCTTATCGCTAATGCACGACCTGGCCACGACAAGAAGCTTAAGCAGAGCTAGGCGCTGTCCCTTGGCGAATAAGGCCGCCATGGCTCGTGTTGGTCCCGGCGTCATACAGGGAGGTGGTGCTCCGTAGGGCACTGATCGATCGCTGCTGAGCGACAACCTCGTCCTTTTGTTTCTTCATGCAGCTGTCGGGTCGCCCTGCTTCTTCTCCCTTTCGCCGTCACGCGGTCGCTTTTCCGCAGGCCGCCCTCGCTCTCCCATTGTTTCTGGTCTCTTTTCGAGGAGCACGTTTCGTTCTTCATCCTTCAGCTCTGCGTCCGACCCATCGAAAGAGGCCGTGAGGCTTTTGGCCCGTCTGCTGCTCCCGCTGCGTCTCTCACCGTCTCGAAATCCACCGCCGCCATGCCTCGCAGCAACCGCTGGCGCAACATTGATCGCCTGCTTGGCTTTGACAGGCATGGCTATCAATCTCGCCGCCAATGGGTTCACGAAGAGGAACAAGCCTGTACGTCGTGATGCCTTCAATGGCCTCGGAACCCTTCACCTCGTGCCCCTCAGGCCATTCCTGCTAACAGACACCCTTGCCCTCTCACTCCAGTGCTACCCCATCTACACAATGAGGAGATGGACTCTGCTATTCCGCCGATCGAAGTTACAAAGGTGTGCCTCCGGCTACGACACCTGGTCCAAGAATGCGTGCCGTGCGAAATGGAGGAGAGCCGAATTACCGCCCCCCATAGCCGCATCATCACGCCGCACGTCATCCGAGCTGCCAGGGAAGCAGGCGGTCAAGAGCACAAGGGCTGCGTGGTACGTGGACGGCTGCATACATGCCACCCACCACTGGGGTGATGGCATACTGACAAGGCCCAGGTCTATGCTTTGCTCGTCAATCAACGCTGGTTCAAGCACGAAGCCAATGCCGAGCTTTGGGATGCTAGTCTGCATCACCTTAGAGCCGAAGCTTGCGGTGTCATCGCTAAAGCCCTGTACGTTTTTTTTTCAGCAATTGCCCCTTTGGTGTCTGTTCTCTGGATCCCTCGCTAACTATAAGAACACCAGCATCGAAGAAGAGGAAGACACTGCGTATCTGCTGCACTCGGTGCTTCTGCGTCGATACTCGTACATTGCAAACGGCGCCCCGACGCCCCCCGTCAACGTCATCGAGAAGGCCGTCGATTTGCACGCAGTCCGAGTAATTGGGTCGTCGGGCTACCAGAAATGCATCAGCTATCTCTGGCGCGGCTGGCTGGTGCAGGATGAGAACGACCCGGCCATCTTTGTCGACTACAATGACAAGGATAATCCCAACTTCCTGGTCCATATGGATCCGGATCGGATGCGAAGCCCCAGGAACCAAAACCTCGCCCAGCTTTTGTTCTCCCTCATCTATCTCGCCCTCTTTACCATTGCTATCAACACTGTTAACGCTACTGGCGTGATCGATATCGCTGAAGGAGCCCTCTATGTCTTTACGCTCGGCTACATCTGCGATGAGCTCCTCAAAGTCTACAAGGCTGGGTATCAGATCCTGGGCTTTTGGAATGCTCTCAACGGTATGCTATACACGTTCTTGACGGCGTCGTTCATATTCCGCGTCGTCGGCCTGACATTCGCGGAGCACACCGATGGCCGTATTCACTACAGCACACTTGGATATAACATCCTGGCCTTTACCGCTCCGCTCTTCTGGTGTCGTCTCCTGCTCTACTTGGATAGCTTCCGATTCTTTGGAGCCATGCTTGTTGTTCTCAAAGTTATGATGAAGGAGTCTGTGATATTCTTTGCTCTGCTCATTGTCATCATCATCGGCTTCCTACAGGCCTTCATCGGTCTGGACCTCACTGACGACAATGTTGCCGATGATGTTTGGTTCATCATCGAATCCATGTTGAGAGCTCTTCTCGGAAGCCCGGAATTCGATGGCTTCGATGGCTTTGGACCCCCCTGGGGTGCGATCCTGTATTACTGCTTCACGTTTATTGTCATGGTATGTCCTGCGCATGATGATGTCTTACTGATATGCTGGCAAGTGCACAACTAACAATGGCACCAGGTTATCCTCCTCAACATCCTCATTGCACTGTACAATTCTGCTTACGAGGACATCTACGAGAATGCGGACGATGAATATCTGGCGCTGTTTAGCCAAAAGACAATGCAGTTTATTCGCGCGCCAGACGAGAACGTCTACATTGCTCCATTCAACTTGATTGAAATTTTCATTTCTGCTCTCTTTGAGTGGTGGATGCCCAAGAAATCGTACGAATTCCTCAATGACTGCGTCATGGGCGTTCTGTACTCGCCACTGCTCTTCATCACGGCATTCTTTGAGATTCGCACAGCCTATTCTATCCGTTCCAACCGGGCTCGCGGTGAAGCGGACGACGATGTCGTTGAAGAGTGGGAGCAGCTGGCAGACGAAGTTGACTTTGGTGCCGAAGGATGGTCCAAGAAGTGCGAGGCTGTCAAGCCCAACATGGAAGAAGACTTGGCCGTTGTCGAGATCAAGAAACTGCGAAATGAGCTTGCTGGGTTGAAGTCTATGCTCACAGAGATTAGCGACTACGTTCATTTCCCGACCAGCCAGGATACCAAGGTTGGAGACGGTAGCGCCTTTGGCGACTTCAAGCCTTCCTCGGAAACCACGCATGAGGGAACAGACCATACCGTGGGCACCGGCAAAGACGTGGCGTATGAGCAAGGAGGCACATCAGACAGCGCGCAGGAAGGTCAAAACAGCCTGATTGACCTGACGGATCCGTTTGTGGGCTCTACGAGGCCGGACGAAGATTCTGCAGAGCCGGCCAACGATTCTGCGGAGCCAGCTGTGGATGCTGGAGAGGATTCCAAGGCTTCGGAAGAGATGACAAAGAGTTCGGAGGAGACAAACAAAGACACCGAAGAGCCGAAGCCGATCAAGCCGTCTGATGAGTCTACCGAGCCGGTCGAGGAACCCACGCACCCCGTGGAAGCGGCACCTGAAAGTGAAGATGCAGCAACCAGTGCGCCGGAAGACACTTCTAAAGCTCCTGAAGACGCGCCGCTCAAGACATCTGAAGACGTCCCGTCAAAGGAACTCGAAGATCCATCGGCCGAGACTCCCGAAGACGTGCCTTCCAAAGCACCTGAAGGCGCTCCGCTTGAGGCTCCTGAGTATGTTCCGTTCATGGCTCCCGAAGACCTGCCATCAGAGACACCTGAAGGTGTATCGTCCGAGGCTCCTGAAGGCGCCCCGCTAGAGACGCCTGAAGCCACATCGTCGAAGGCCCCTGAACAAGACGTGACGCCTTCACCTGCCGAGCGTGTCGAGTCAGAAGAGGCCGAGGAAGCCAGCCCCGAGAGTCCTGCTGCCGGCGAAGCCAGGGCAGAGGGCGAACAATCTCCGGCGCCGACGAAGGCTAAGAGAAGAAGAAGAAAGAAGAACAAGCAGTCTCAAGGTGGCCCCAGCGGCGGCAGCTAAGCAAGCAACCCTGCTGCCCGATGCCTGGCAAAGGAGTGAAGATTGTGTGTCTTATGTCTGATTTTGAACAGCGAATACACCCACCTGATTCTGATTGATCTGAACCGAGATGCTTACTCACGCAGGATGGCATTTCTCTAATACGTCGTGGAACTGAGCTAGAACATGGGGGGGATACACTGGACGGGCGGGTGGTGCTCAATATATGAATGACTTTGCTGGTTGCGATCTAGGGAACGGTTGCATTTACGTTTTGATATAGCAAGGAAAAGTCTAATTTTGACTGATTTGGGTTTCAATTCACCGGTGTCAGCATAGCGCGCGCTTTAACTACCTAATAAACGAGAGGTGCTACTTGGATGACTGCCTTGATTCCGACCTCGTAGTCCCTGATAGATTGATGTCTATGCAGGTGCCCGCGGCGTGCAATTACTGTCCTACAATCGAGAACATTTCTCTTCTGGAAGATACCTCGTAAAACCCGTAAACGCCTAGACAAGATTTAACCCAAATTTTCTTTGCTCGCTGGTTTCTTGCAGCCAGCCCTTAGCGGGGTGGCAACTCATTCTCAGCAGGGGGAAAGTAGAGGCTATGGGCAGTTCACATCAGCAGAAGTCTTTTGGGCGGGGGATACGGAGAGTGGGTTGGAGATCTTACGGAAGAATGGAGTTATATGCATTCACGTCCTTGTCGAGAAAGGTGACAAAGATGACGCGCTGGATCTTGCCCTCGGCATCCTGCCGCTCGAGAAAGTCCCGGACGACGCCGCAGGCCACGTGGGCCGCCTTGTCGGAGGGGTAGCCGTAGACGCCGGTGCTGATGCCGCTGAAGGCGACGGTGGCGCAGCCGTTGTCGACGGCGACGCGCAGGCATGCCTGGTAGCAGCTGCGCAGGAGGGGCTCGCTGGCGGCCTGGCCCCGGTAGACGGGGCCGACGGTGTGGATGACGTTGCGGGCGGGGAGGCCGTGGCCGGCGGTGATGACGGCGTCTCCCGTCTCGCAGCCGTCGGGGTAGCGGGCGATGCACTCGCGGACGAGGCCGGGGCCGGCGGCGGCGTGGATGGCGCCGTCGACGCCGCCGCCGCCGCGGAGGGAGTTCTTGGCGGCGTTGACGATGGCGTCGACGGCGAGGGCGGTGATGTCTGTGCGGAGGAGGCTGACGCGGCGGTTGATGTCCTGCGAGGGCTTATGGAAGGGGGAGGAGGAGGAGGAGTCCGAGGGGAGGGGGAGGCGCCCGGCGCGGTAGAGGTCGCCGATGGGGGGCACGTCGGCGATGGTGCGGACGGTTCTGGATGGCATTTTGGCGGTGGCGAAGGCTCTTTGACGGGGAGGAGATGGTTTCAGGCTCAGGTTGGGCGCTGGTTGTAATGGTTAGTATTTTCTGGGTGTTTTTGATGTTGCGTTGTTGAGGGATGAGGATGATGATGGGATGATGATTCAAGTGAGCTTACCTTGGTGCTTGATATAGTTGATTGGCGTCGGCTTGCTTCTCAAGAGCAGGGGCTTTAAAGCGTGGAGCTGCTCACCTGGCATGAAGAAATGTAGAGGAAGAGAAGAAGAAAAGAAGGAGAGGAAGGAGAAGGCAAGATATAGTTATCAAGATTGTTGGGCGAGATGAAGCGAACTGTTGGAGGTTGCGCAGGTTGAGTGAGTTGCTGGGAGAGTCAATTACAGTTGAGTCTAGGCACGTGGCTGTGGCGTATCGATACCTGATACTGATCTGAGCAGACGTGCAAATGACGACGTGCCAATGAATTGCTTGATGATCTTCGCTTGATGAACCCTTAGCAGATTGAAAGTCAAATATGTTTCCCATGCAGGAAGTGAGGGCACTTCGATTCTTGTAGTTGGGGCCTCCAGTTTGGTGTCGAGATGCCTTTGCTGCATATGTCCCCGCAGCGGTTATGGACGGTGCCTTTCGTGATCTACGCCTATCTGAGCTAACTTTCTCTGCTCAGCGCCAGATCTCTCTTCAATTCATGCTGGTATTGTAGGGAGAAATGAGATCAAGCGGGTTTATGTGGTTCTACCGAGTAGAATTACCTGGGTGCATACCAGTCGTATAACGACTTCTTTACTTTGCAAGCACGTCCAGGTCATGGATATAAACTATATGCTCTCATTCACAGCAAACGATTCGATTCACCGCGGATAATGCAAGTAATTTTTTCTACCTTGTTTTCTTCTCATGATATAAGGGGCACTCACTGTAGCTTTTGCAACTCTGAGCATGGAGAACGAGCTCTAAGCAGGGAGACTGAGCAGATCACCTCCATACGACACAGTATCTCTCGGCTGAGAGCGAAGGGAGAGACAACTATTCCATAATCTCAGCTAACCTACGTGAACTTGTCAACTCACGTGGTAATACTGCCTGCAACTTCCATTACACTTGCGTTGTCGTGGTCCTTTCTTTACTGCTTTTAGAGACGCTGTCAAAAGGGGGGCTAGGCGTCTTTCATGAGAGCTCGTGTGGTAAATCTATGTTTCTCATCGATTTACCAATGGGCCCCGCTGATTGAATGGGCACCTTGTGTTCCAAGCTGCAATTGCCACAGCTATGTTCTAGAAGCAGACCTATGAGTCTGAGTGGCGAGGAGGATGGAGTCAAGATGATGCCGATATCGTGATGAGTCAGCAATCAGGGTCAATCAACGAACCCAACACCTGCTCTCTCACGGTGAGGTAGTATCCAAGTCGCGATATTTGCTTGTTGTTGATGATATTTGTCTTCGCCCCTGAAAGACCATTTCTACATTCTCCTATATCACGGCAATTCACAACATCCAACGGGAAACCCATGACAGACAGAGCGCACTGGCACTGACGAAGCCTAAGAACAAGCCCCGTCCATGCCGGCACCTGACAGTCGGTGAGTCCCGGCTAGCAGCGAACATGGGCTGACAACATGGAGCAGAGACTGCAGACTGGACTCTGGGGCCCCGCGATGGTGGTGGATCATGGCGATACGATGGATCTGAAGAATTTGACGATGGGTTGTCTGACTACCGGATGGCAGTTGAACAGGCCGAAGGTGAAGCCTGCGTCTCGACTACGGGAGCTCTGCTTCAACCCAACGATGGGAATCCCATGGACGCACAAGAATACAGACACCATGGAGTGCGTGCCACTAGTTTTTGGGCGCTCTCCACGCCGTCTCTCTGATCCAACCACTGAGGCGGGCGTGAGGTGACAACGTGGCGCCAAAGCCGGACAAGAATGGCAGCCCGAGTTTATCTCGACTTTTTCTCCCTTGTGTCAGACCCACCGCTGCCGTGAAGATGCGGCGAGTGCAGTTATTGTATGCTTGGGTTACAGCGTGGAGGAGGAGGAAGGATGCGCTGACAACGCAGCAGCCTGTTTGTCTTACAAGTTCCCATCCCCCCGAGCAGAGAACAGAATGCAGGAAAACATGCCAGGCAGTCCGGTTGGGCCGACGAGGTGTGAGGGCTTCTGACACCGCCCGAGCCGGTTATGCAGGACCATGGCAGCTTTCACATTCGTCTATACCTGATGACAAAGGGACCAATGAGTGCCGCTATACTGTAGATTTGGAGGGAGAGCGATACTACCGCTCCATCTGCAGGGGCGGATCCGGCTGGGACAAGTGTGTGAGGCATCAGCAATCCGTTTTGGATCAACGCGTGGCGGCAGATCACAGGAGTACTATGCACCAGCGTGTCCCACACCAGACTTTGCCCCAGGCACGACTACCCACGTCGACATCGCCATCGCCCTCATTATTCAGCGCGAAGAAGACTGCAAGGACAGCGTCATTCATGAATGGAGCTAGGATAGGTAATACATCGATGCGGGCCTAGATGAAGATTCAGTAGTGCGAAGCAAAGGTGGTTGCTCAAGCAAAAGAGGCGGCAAGTGAGAGCACCCTCAAGGTACGGTTCACAGGCTGCGATATACTTGTACCCAACTCTGTATCACTAGAATCCTATTGGCTCAGGCCTACCGAAAGGGGCTTGAAATCTGGGAGAAGGACCAACGACTGCCTGGTACGTACGTACGGCAACACGAACCGAACTCGATGGAATTGTTGAGGCCCGCGAAGCGTCAAACCTTCCAAGAAACTTCGATGCTTCCAAAGCCCGTGTGGCGTCTCGAGTCCTCTTTTCTTCCGCCACCAAGGAGGAGGTTCAAGGCCTTCAGTCCTCACTCAAACGCCTCACCGCCCTTGCCTTCCAAAGGGTTTACCCACTTGCGGCTTAGCGTGCCGCTGATAAAGCTGATAAGCCTCGCCTCCGCCAATGGAGGGGCAGCGAAAAAATCTTTTTGGGCTGCCCGATTTTAGCCACACACCCCGCGAAAGCGAAGAAAAAAAAAAGTTTTTGGGCCGCAGCCTTTGTGGCCATATAATAACTGTGGCCGCCCTCCCACTTCTGCTTTTTCTTCGATCTTACCTCCATCTCCTTTCATTTTTCCCTCCTTCATCTTTGGTCGTCAGTGTTTGCTTGACGAACTTTGGACTTGTGTCTTCTCTTACAGTCCCTTTCGTTTTTCATTGACGAGTTGTTCTTTGGTTCCTCCCCATCGAACAGCCCCGCCGTTTTCATTCAGCAAATTCAAAAAAGCCTCGATACCGCAGAGTCGATTCCTCCATCGTCTCTGTAGTCCTCGCGATCGAATACCGAGTAACATCGATTCCGATCGCCTCTCCCATTTCCGACTTTTATAACCCTTCCTCGTCACTCGACATCACCGACAACATGTCTACCGAGTCCGTCAAGGTTCTGGACGAGCTTTTCCAGAAGCTCTCCGTCTCCAAGGAGGCCGCCGAGGTCAACGAGGCTGCCCAGGAGATTGCCAGCTTCATCAACGGCCGCATCGACGACCAGGCTGTCCCCGACAAGTAAGTCTACTCTTCGCAATGTTTTTTTCTTCCTATTGAACAGGTTGTCCCCTTTACCCACGGGCGGGGAAAAACTTTTCTTTTTCGCGGGCCTCTTATCTCACTGCCTATGGCAATGAATTGCCCCGCCACTCATAGCGGGGTCAGGCCTGCAACAACCCCTCTTCAGTGGCCACGGTAGCTGCCAAAGCCCCCTGAAGAGTTTTTCGCACCCAGCTGTAGCGCATCATTTTCAGTGAGTGGATAGGTGCTAACAAGCCCTCTTTCTACAGGTTCATCGGAGACATCAAGAAGGGCCTTACCAGCAAGAAGGACGCCACCGCCCGTGAGAAGGCTGCCGTCGCTGTCAAGGAGATCGCCTCTCACTCTGAGGTCGCTGCCAGCGTCGAGCCCTACCTCGTCACTCTTCTGCCCGAACTCCTCGACGCCGCTGGCGACAAGGCTGTTCCCGTCCAGAAGGCCGCCAATGCTGCCGTCCTGGCCATTGCCGGCGCCCTCAACGGCAATGCCGTCAAGCAGGCTCTGCCTGCTCTGATGGACAAGATCCGCAACGCCCAGAAGTGGCAGTCAAAGATGGTCGCTTTGGACTTCATCCTGGCCCTCGTCAAGAGCGCCCCTGCTCAGCTCTCCTACCGTGTCCCCGACTTGATCCCCGTCATCTCTGAGGCTATGTGGGACACCAAGAAGGACATCAAGGAGCACGCCTACAAGGTCATGGAGAGCATCTGCCAGCTCATCGTCAACAAGGATATCGAGCGATTCATTCCTGAGCTCATCAAGTGTATCGCCAAGCCCGAGAACGTCCCCGAGACTGTCCATCTTCTCGGTGCCACCACCTTCGTCACTGAGGTCCAGGAGCCCACCCTCGCCCTCATGGTTCCTCTTCTGGACCGTGGTCTCAACGAGCGTGAGACCGCCATCAAGCGAAAGTCTGCTGTCATCGTTGACAACATGTGCAAGCTGGTCGACGACCCCAACATCGTCGCTCCTTTCTTGGACAAGATGATTCCTGCTCTCCAGAAGAACTACGACAACCTTGCCGACCCCGAGGCCCGTGAGAAGACCAAGCAGGCCCTTGACACCCTTAACCGTGTCGGCAACGTCGTCGACGGCAAGATCCCCGAGGTTCGCAACGACGGCGACGTCAGCGTCGTCCTTGCCAAGCTCAAGGAGATCCTGGCTCCCCGCTACGCTTCTCTCCTCGAGAAGATGGAGCCTGTCGCTGAGTACATTGCCGCTATTGCCGGCCAGCTCATCGACATGAAGGAGACCGACGCCACCGTCTGGGTCGAGAGCCTGAAGCCCTACGTCGCTGTCATCACCGGCATCGACAACGCCGAGGCCGTCGTCGAGACCCTGCGCAAGCGTGCTTCTCCCGGCGCTGCCGAGGAGGAGGAGGGCGAGGCCGATGACGAGGAGGGTGAGGATCTCTGCAACTGCACCTTCTCTCTCGCCTACGGTGCCAAGATCCTGCTGAACCAGACCCACCTCCGCCTCAAGCGCGGTCAGCGTTACGGTCTCTGCGGTCCCAACGGTTCCGGCAAGTCTACCCTCATGCGTGCCATCAACAACGAGCAGGTCGAGGGCTTCCCCAAGCAGAGCGAAGTCAAGACTGTCTTCGTTGAGCACGACCTCGACTCCGCCGACACTGAGATGACCACCATTGACTGGACCATGAAGAAGCTGGCTGAGGCCAAGGTCGAGGTCTCTCAGGAGGATGTCGAGAAGCGCCTGATCGAGTTCGGCTTCACCGAGCAGATGATCAAGGGTGAGATTTCCGCTCTGTCTGGTGGTTGGAAGATGAAGCTGGCTCTGTGCCGTGCCGTCTTCGAGGCCCCCGATATCCTGCTTCTCGACGAGCCTACCAACCACTTGGACGTGAAGAACGTCAAGTGGCTCGAGGACTACCTCATCAACTCCCCCTGCACTTCCATCATCGTCTCTCACGACTCTGGCTTCCTCGACAACGTCTGCCAGCACATCATCCACTACGAGCGATTCAAGCTCAAGCGCTACCGTGGTAACCTGAAGGAGTTCGTCAAGCGTGTTCCTTCTGCCAAGTCCTACTACGAGCTTGGCGCCTCCGAGATCGAGTTCACCTTCCCCGAGCCCGGTTTCCTCGAGGGTGTCAAGACCAAGGCCAAGGCTATCCTGCGTGCCACCAACATGTCCTTCCAGTACCCTGGTACCTCCAAGCCCCAGATCAGCAACATCAGCTTCCAGTGCTCTCTGGGCTCTCGTATTGCTGTCATCGGTCCCAACGGTGCTGGCAAGTCTACCCTGATCAACGTTCTCTGCGGTGAGCTCATCCCCACTGGCGGTGAGATCTACCAGCACGAGAACATCCGTATCGCCTACATCAAGCAGCACGCTTTCGCCCACATCGATGACCACCTTGACAAGACTCCCTCCGAGTACATCCAGTGGCGTTTCCAGACTGGTGAGGATCGTGAGACCATGGACCGTGCCAACAAGATCATCACCGAGGCCGACGAGAAGGCCATGGACAAGATCTTCAAGATCGAGGGTACTCAGCGTCGTGTCATTGGCATCAACGCCCGCAGAAAGTTCAAGAACAGCTACGAGTACGAGTGTTCGTTCGCTCTGGGTGAGAACGTCGGCATGAAGAACGAGCGCTGGGTTCCCATGATGAGCGCCGACAACGTCTGGCTGCCGCGTAACGAGCTGTTGGCCTCTCACCAGAAGATGGTCGCCGACGTCGACATGAAGGAGGCCCTCGCCTCCGGTCAGTTCCGACCTCTGGTCCGCAAGGAGATTGAGGCCCACTGCGCCAACTTCGGTCTGGATGCCGAGCTGGTTTCTCACTCCCGCATGCGCGGTCTGTCTGGTGGCCAGCGTGTCAAGACTGTCCTGGCTGCTTGCTCATGGCAGCGACCCCACTTGATCGTCCTTGACGAGCCTACCAACTACCTGGACCGTGACTCTCTGGGTGCCCTGTCCAAGGCCCTGAAGAAGTTCGAGGGTGGTGTCATCATCATCACTCACTCTGCCGAGTTCACCAAGGACTTGACTGAGGAAGTCTGGGCTGTCATGGACGGCAAGATGACTCCTTCCGGCCACAACTGGGTCCAGGGCCAGGGTTCCGGCCCTCGTCTCAAGCAGGATGACGACGATGAGGAGGACAAGTTCGACGCCATGGGTAACAAGATTGTTGCCACCAAGAAGAAGGCTAAGCTGTCTTCTGCTGAGCTGCGAAAGAAGAAGAAGGGTAAGTCGATTCTCCATCTACCAAAAAGGATAATACTTCAGTTACTAACGTGCTTTTCTCTACAGAGCGTATGGCCCGCCGAAAGCGTGGTGAGGAGGTGTTCAGCGACGAGGATGACCTGTAAACGATTAACATACCCACACATCACGGCATCTCGATGACGCCTGGTCCCTTGACGACTTAGACATTTTCTTTTTTTCATGTTCCTTTTTTTCTCTTTCTGCTGATGAAAATACGGTTTGGTAACGGAAAAGTTGCGATGCCTTGTTTGCAATGATTGCATGCTCGGGCTGCCCATAGAAGGGCCTTCTCAATAGACTGATGGTCTGGATGAGTGCGAGAACCACGACGTGGGGATGGAGGACCCCCATGTTGGAATGAGCTCTTGCACCTTGGGCTATAGAGGGAAGGCAGACGGTTGATAGAAGCCCGAATAGATTTTTTAAATCTTGACTCTCCCTGCATGTCAGTGATTGTTTATCTCCCAGTGTGTGTGTGACCTCACATACTTTGTGTTACTACCTATCTTGTGACTGGACTATCTCCCTGTGATCCAAAATGAAGTATACATATCAATAGCCACCCATAAACTTGCATCAGTCTTGATATAGACAGCTTGAAGCACTTACTTATTCATAGACGATACCATGAACACGTATAGCCCTAGAGGATCAGAGTAAGGTAACCATTAAGCAACATACGAGTATCATAATTTGCCAAGCCAGTTTTACTTACCTACTATCGAGAGGCAGTTTGCTTTACACGCCACCTTTGCCCTCCCCTATCCTTCCACAGCGACAAACCTAATGATCCACTAGGCACAGATTGCATCCCGAGCAATTTACATACATTCAAGTCCATTCGCAACGATGACCGTGATCGCTAGGTATCAGATTCTTTGATCAAGATGTACTACTAGGTTAGTTTCAAAGGGTCGCCCGTGCTCAATGAGAGAAAGAACTTTTGTTAACGTGCGTGTTCTGCTAGAACAGTATAGAAGCTCGATCCGTCAGAGGCGGACACTGCCTGAGTTTGAGATGCATCTAAAAAAAATAAAAAGTATCTTCTGGCATGGCATGGAAAGGTAATGCATTCGGTCCTCGAGGCTGCGTACAAGAAAGAAAGATGTGTCTGGTAACGGTTTGTTGTAGGTCATGCTAAACTGCCGGTGTCACGAGGGAGCGATGGCGAAAATAGACATACTGAGTTCAGGACTTGAAACCGTTGACTGTATCTATCCAGGAATTAGCGAGATGCAAAGATTCAATGTGCATGTCGTGCAGAACATGCACACCAATGAACTGTAAAACTCACACTCGTAGTTTAAAAAAAGAAAGAAGGAAAGAAAAAAACATAATTCAAGTTCTATTCCAGGGTATGCAGAACCAATACACAAACAACTTGGAAGTCTCAAACCGTCCTTCATGAAGATCCTCGCAGCGAAACGTTCAAGACCTGCTTTCCGTCCGGCATCCTTCCAACAAATCACAAAGAGAATCCAGCGTGAATGGTTTAGTGGTAAAATTCTCCGTTGCCATCCGCAACGATCGGGGAGCCCTGGGTTCGATTCCCAGTTCACGCATTCTCTCTTTCCAAGCGTAATTGGTTTAGTGGTAAAATTCTCCGTTGCCATCGGGGAGCCCTGGGTTCGATTCCCAGATTACGCATTGTGATTTCTTTTTTCCTTTCCTTTTTTCTTTTGTTGCCTTTTTGTTGCCTTCTAGGTGTCGTGATAGGGGTTTGAGGGTTGTGGAGTTGATTGGGGAGGTGAATGGACTGTGTAGGGCGATCGTGGTTTCTGTGTAGCTCGTCTATGTGGGTGAAGACGGGGTCAGAGCCGGGGGAAATGATCGAGATGCTCTTGATATATACTCTAATGGTCTCATATGTCCTGGGTATATCGTCTATATAACTCATTCATTTTAGTCTACCCCCTTATATTCCATGCAGAATCTTGTCCGCAAACATGATGGGTATATATGTATATACAAACAATAACACACAAGACGGAAAAGGAGATGCAAGGACATGTGCTCATAAGTGGCTGCCAATAGGAGAAACTGATGCAGCTGGCTCTTGACTTCCTCATGCCATCAGGCTATCCGCGTTCTTGTTGCGCTTGAGCCTGACCAGCTGCAGCATCTCGCTCCAGAAGCCCTCCGGAGGCTCCATGAAATGCGATTCGTAGGCGTCAATCGTGGGCCGCTGCCACACGAGGTCAAGCTCGCTGGGTCGGACAAACCGGGTGCGCTTCAGCACCTTCCAGAAGATAAAGAGGAGCGGCGCCAACAGTTGCATGGTGTAGTTTTGGAAAAAGGCCTTGACGTCCCAGGGCATAAACGCCTTGTATCCGTATCCTCCAACGACGAGAAGCTGGAAGACAAGCGCGATGATGGCGCAGTAGGGCTGTCCCCAGCCAAAGTACGGGAATGTCTTTCGGTCAACGCCCTGGGCCTTGCACGCTCTGTAGAAGCAGAGGTACGTGATGGACATGACCAGGTAGTCGATGATGCCACCGGCGGTAATCAGGCTCACGAGCCAGGTAAGCACGATGGCGGAGCCGTTGCCGACTTGAAGAAAGGACAGGAATGGGAAGCACATGACGACCAAAAAGGCGTTGATGGGGACGCCCTTGCTCGTGCACTTGCGGAGGAATCGAGGGGCTCGGCCATCGAGAGCCAAACCGTACAGTGATCGCGTGGCACAGTAGGTGTAAGTGTTTCCGGCCGAGAAGATGGATGTCATCATCAGCGCATTCACGATGTGCGGTAGCACCGAGACACCCATGTTCTGCATGGCAATGACATATGGCGAAGCCGCTGCCGTGCCGCTACCCTTTCCGCCATTGTTGAGATCGGCCAGCGTCTTGTCATTGTAAGGAAGAATGATGCCGACTGCCAGAGCGCTGCCTATGAAGAAGATGCCGAAGCGGATGTAAATGGTCTTGAAGGCCGTCTTGATGTAGACACGGGGTCGCTGAGCTTCGGCTGCCACCATGGAGATGTACTCGGGTCCGACAACGGCGAAGGATGCGCTCCAGAGGGCTGTCAAGAAGCCTTCAAAGCGGCCGAGGGCGCCGTGCGAATGATACTCGGCGAAGGCTCCAGGGTTATTCCAGTATCGAAAGCCAAAGGCATCGTGATTCGGATTGCCGCCGACCATGGTGATAAAGGTGAAGAAGAAAAGCATAAAGATGAGAATTACCTTTCCTCCGGACAGGTAAAATTCCGCCTCACCATAGGCTCTGACGGCAAGAACGTTTAGCAGACTGTATGTAATGAATCTGGTCAGCATGTATACTCTGGCACAGGCAAAGGGAGAAGAAGAGATGAGAAGCCCAGCAGATGTTGACCTTCCTTCGCAGGCTCTATCCCTCCACTCTCCCCGACATATGAGAAAGTCTTACGCATAGCAGACAATAACGGCGGCGCAAATACCGGCGGTCGGGCCTGGCTTGGTGACGTTTTCGTCCCAAAAGGAGATGACGAGATTGAGCGCAGTGATCTCAAAAGGAATGAGCAGAGCTTCGTACAAGAAGAAGTTCCAGCCAGCCATGAATCCCAAAGCATCATCGACCCAGTGGCCGGCCAGCCGAATGAACCCTCCGGATACAGGCATAAGGACGGTCATCTCCGCGAGCGAGTTGTTCACCAGTCCAAGAACCATCGAGTAAAAGAGGTAGGCCAGGAACAGGCTGGCCGGGCCGGCGGTGGACAGTCCGCCTCCAATACTGACGAACAGCGCGGTACCAATCGAGCCACCAATGGCGATGAGCTGGATTTGCCGATTGTTAAGGCGTCGCTGCAGGCCATCGGCATTCTCGACGAAGTCCTGGGATCCCACGTCAGGAGATCCCGGGGCCTCGAATTTGGGATGCTTCTCGTCGTCTGTAGTCGCCATCTTGAAGAACTAATCAGTTACTTGGCGACAGTATCGTCTCTTACTCCGTAGTCTTCATGAGAAACGGTGACGGCGTGGTAATCAAGCCAGCTGCCAATGCAATTAAAGCACTAACGAGCTGATGTTGACAGAATGCTGAACCCTGCTGCAGATGATTGCGGCAAGGACAGTCAAGCGAGAAAAGGAAGAGGATGAGATGTGAGAGGAATGAAGTTCCACAGAGGCAAAGGGAGGCACGGGCGATGGAGGAGTATATGTAACAATTGTTGGGACCACCACGAGTACTTACAGACAGGCCTGGCTGAGAATCACTCAGTGAACGTAGTATACCAAAACCAGTCAACTGGGGGCCGACAGGCGAGCGAAGACGACACCGGGGCACTCAGGGTCGCAATGAGATTGGACGGACTCACTTGTGACGCTGTGTCCTATGTGGGGGACAAGGCCGAGCTGGAAACACTTCCCACCTCCCCTCAGGCCATTTTTTGCGCCTCTCCTTGCGCAGCCCGGCGGGATTCGCCTTGGCATGTTGCCCCGAGAGCTGCTCTTGTCCTACGTCTGGCGACTCGCTCTCTATTCTGCGCGCGTCCCCTGCCATTGTCGTTCTTGGTGGAGAAGCCAAGGAGGACGCCAGAGAAGAGCTAGTGCATTAGGCCCTGTTAGGACCGGGCGGGATGAGCAGCCATCCACACAGGAGGGAGGGCCGGGGATCCAGATGGCGGGCAGGGGGAGGGCACAGTGTCAGATTCCCCGCCGTTTGCCGCCGTCTTCGTACTGTCCTTGGTCAACCTGGATTGCCGGAGTCGATATTTGCACGATCGGTATCAGAAGATGTCACCACCGAAGAATTGAACGATCAACCGACATTGAGGTTCAAAGGGGGTATATTGTAGGGCTTACCATATGTGTTCCCCGTGAAGGCGTGGTCAATGAGCTGGTTTGTAGTGCTTGACGCGTCCAGAACGTGTGATCAGTGACGAGGGCTGCAGCATGTCGACTGTGAACAAGGCCCTGCCTTCCAGTTTTCTATTGGAAGGAGAGAGTTGGGCTTTGAAGAGTCTAATGATAATAGTGATTCCAGGGGCCGAACAGGTATAAGTTCGTATCGTACCGGATGGCTGGTCGGTTATTCCTGAGCTCGAGTAGATGCTTTGGCTATAACTATTGCATGAACTTCTGTTGGTTGAAGCGTGAGCTCCAACTTTCAGGTGCCAGTAGTGTCATCTGATAACTGAAGCAACGCTGGAGATTTGTAAGTGAGATCGATCTCTGTAACGGGCGTTTGACGGAGATCTGGTATTAGGTAGTCTGGAGACCAACTGCTTGTCCAACTTCAGATCGTCGGAAGGCTGTATGCATGGTGTGAGATACCGAACGCTCGGATTCGGTACCAGAGCTGAGAGCCGTAGGATCTGTAACCGTTGGTACCATATGTCCAACGGTCTAGCCAGCCGTCCCTTGTGCCGTTACCATTGACCAAGAGGCCATCTGGTGCATTTTGGTTCGCTTTGCCGCCTTGCCATGGAGTCGTCTCAATACTTCCCGAGCACTGTGCAAACTGACTCCTTCGCCAGAAGGCACCGAAGAGATCCCTGGTCACACGGTGAACCCTTAGAACGGCAAAGTCTCTTGATATGGCAACACGCCCATCATGGCTGCACGCATGAAGCGCATGTCGCCCAAAGAAGATGCGGACGGCGCTGTTCAGCTCGCTCGGCCAACGCTTGAAAGCGGCATGAGACAGACTGCTTTCGTTCGAAGGAATCCCCTGCAGCCCAACTGACGTCACCCCGCCTAAGCCTTGTCCCGCTGTTAGCCTGTCTTGGACTAGAGGGCATCGTCGATCTGTGGCTCAGTGGGTGGGTGTTCCTGGTCGCACAGTCGGGAGACAGTGCGTGGTAGAGACGTTGAAATGCCATTCTAGAAGGCGGTTGACGAGAAAGGCTTCTTGAGATGTGGTGTTGATATGATGGTATCTCGAATGTGCCTATCAACTCCAGAGACCCTTGCCTGATCTGATGCCCCTTACAGCATTCGGGCATTGCTCCATCAGCAGCGGCAAGGGCACCAGAGATAAGCCAGCCGAGAGCCGCAGCAGAAGACTAGCAGCATTTATCCGATCCTTGTCGCGAGCGGCCGTGAGGAGAAGACGAGGCTCTGTTGGTAGAATCGCAACAGGGACATGTTGCATATCCGTCAATGAGCTGCATGCGGCGGAACTTGGTCACCACCTAGGAACTAGGAGACGCGAGTCAGCAACAGTTAGGAACGAGCGTCATCTTTTGCCCTCGGCCGAATCGACGGCGAGCCTCCCCAACTCCCCAGGGGACAGCAAGGCTGGTAATACGAGCAGAACGATGGTTTTTGTCGGGTGGTTTGAGGAGGCAAGAAACAAGGAAGCAAAACTGTCGCTGGTGATTAATTTGTGGACCGTCTAGGCCAGCACTAGCAGAACTCCGTGTTTTTTGTGTGGGCTCTTGTTAATACAGCGGACACGAGTGGCTAGTAGCACCATGCATGGGGCAGCTACCTTTTAGTGACCGCTTGTTGGCCGTAATATACGAGGACATCCAGGTTACGCTCTCGTATTCCGTGCCTTCACGACGATAGCAGGAGAAAGGCGGTGGAACTTCTACCACTGCACTGTGCTACCGCGGATGGGTGCATGGAGCACAGTGCGCATGCGAGTTTGGGGAAGACCAGAGCAAGCCTCTGCTGCTAATACAACGAGAAATGAATGGGCTTCAAAGCGTCTCGGACGGCGCCGACAGTTCGTTTCAGCCTTCAGCACCCGCCAGGGCTTTCCAGTGCCAAGTCGCCAATGAGCATCGAGTCCGCCGTAAGAAACGGACGCTAACGGTAAATTACAGCGCAAGGCTTTGCTCTGTCCTCGGGCTATTTTTCTCATGTTAATGAGCGGCTCAAGTGTCTGGTCTCTTCATTTGCATGTGCCTTGGATCGCTGCTGCTGCTGCTGTCGCGTGACCTCTTGCTTTGCCTGTCTGAGAGATGATGGGCATCTTCCGATAGGGCGATTCTACTATCGATGCTCTCAACTTGAGGATTCATGAAATGAAGCATATAGATCCTCATCAACCATCCACAGAGTATACCGAGTTCACATCGAGAACACAACGAGCCTTCATTTGGCCTCTCCCTACAGTAAAACCCGCACAGGTCAGAAAAAACTCTGCTGCAAAGTCCACTCACACTCAGCTTGGTGAACCTGTGGGGCCGTTTCGAAGCCGGGCGCATCAAGTAAAAGCCAACGTGCATCAGATGGGGCGAAGAAATCAAAGAGAGGGAAATAAGAGGGACACCAAAAAGAACATCATCGACCGTCGGAAAAAGTCGTCTTCACAGCAAAGAAAGCATGTGAGACTGCGTTTCTCGCATGAGGCTATCGCAACATCTACTAGTCAAGAAGCTCAACAAATGACAACCAACGTTACTAATACGGAAAGGCGACAAGAAGAACTTCTGTTAAGCGAGGCACGATCTAGACTAGAATTCAGCACCTTGTTCAACTTGCCAGCTATGGACAATCACATGTCAAAATGCTGTGTTTGAAGCTCAACAAAATGCTTATTAGACAAGCGTGTAATCACGGAGCAGAATTACCAACATGTGTTTTATCGTGTTAGCGGTGAAGACATCTACAAACTGGAGGCTATCTGCAAGTACATAATACATACCTGGGTTCGACTGGAGCAGCAGCGAACTCCAAGAAGGATGGACTAGTAACACTATCTCTGAATTTATCCAGATCAGCCGTTGCCTTGGAATAGCCTCGCAGAAAAAGTTGCTGTAATGAGGTTCATGCATGCTGATGCTGAGAACAAAGAGACCCTGAGATGGACGACATACAGATGGGCAACACCGTCTCCAATACTATGTGCATAAGCTGATAGGTGGGGTCAAGGGTTCTTGGGCGCTAGAACTAATGTACAAACATTTTCCTGGGAAAACGTCGACATCCCACCTTGGCTCGCTATCGATAAGAAAACCACAAAAAAGTGAAGCATAGCATAGCAAAAGAACCGCAACATACAGACGGACGACGTGCGGTATCAGAGGGATCACGGTGAAAGCAGCTTGCATTTATCATCTCTCTTCTGTGATACCCAACTATCTCACTCCGGGACTGGCAGGCAGCTTCGTGGTTCTGTCAAGGCGCCGTCAGCGCCATCAACTCCGGATATCAAAACCCCCACCATGGCCTCAGACTCAGCATCTGGCGATAGCAGCACCCTGGCCGCGCTGGTTGGCAGCGCGGTAGCGGAGCAGCTCATAACGGAACATGTATCCCATGTGATATCCGTATCAAGCGAGACGGCATCGGAACCAGCCCCGGCCTCAGCTGCACCTACACAGCACTCGTCCGCAGAGCTCCTCGCCATAGGCCTGGCCGCTCTCGACGCCTTCCTCCAAGCAACCGTCACCGGCCCCGTCCTCCCGGCAAAGGAATCAAATCAAGTCGAAAAGTTGTTTGTCAGCGCCTGGAACTCCAGCCACGCAGAATCTCGCGACTCGGCCGTTGCGCTGCACCAGCTTCGAAGAGCTTGCCTGAAGTATCTCGAAGTCGACGGCGTTGCTCCTTATGCCTACATTCCCTATCTGGAACTCTTCTCTCTTGCCAAGTATATCTTGATTGACTCACTGGCTGCGGAAGAGAAAGACATCTTTGAGCTGCCCTCATCCGAAAAGACCTCCGCTAAGCATAGCCTTGCCTGGGAGAGACTGCGCGTCAACGTCTGGCACTACAAGATCATCACGCAGCCAAGCCTGGGCTCGTCGTCCAACTTCAACAAGAGCTCCCAGTGGAGTGATGTGCCCTCTTTGGCAACGCAGATCAGCAAGGAGATAGACGCGGTCCACGAGAAAATCCTTGGCACCGAAGTCTGGGCCACGGAGGAGACTTGGACCAGAGAGGAAAAGGCCTTGTTCCTGATCGAGGCTGCCAACAACTACATCTTGCTTGGCCGCTATGACAAGGCAAAGGAGGCCCTCAAAGAAGCCGCGAAGACGAGCGGCGTTACCTATGCTCTGTCCGGAGCCCTAGGAAAGAGGACCAAGTTCCAGGAGCAAAGTCTAAGTCAGCTGGTTGTCTTTGCGAAAAGCGCCTCTGAACAGGACAGCGCTGGAGCTGCCGCCGGAGAGAGCAAGGACGACGATGATGATGAGGTGGCTGCCATGCCAGATGCGCTCAAGCTCAACGACGATACCCTCTTGGAGGAGATTCAGTTCACAAAGGAGCCCGTCAAGGACACAGCAGCAGTCGACGCTCTGCCACCTGCGTTAGCTGAGCTGTCGCCAGACGACCAGCCTCAGCTGTCACCCCTTGATGAAATGATTCTCCTTACCGAGGCAACCCTCAAGGATGCCTTTTCACCTGACGACGGCCTCACGTCCGAGCAGATTCTGCCCTTTGCCGCCCGTGTCCTGACCGACAAGTCCGTCAACTGGCAGATCTACACACAGGCGCTGCTCGTTCGCTCGAGGATAGAAATCCACAGAAGCAGAACAGTCGAGCGCGGTGTCCTTCAGCTCCAGGCCGTGGCCGACCAAGTCCTCACCGACACCACATTCTCTACTGCAGCTAACGAAGAGCAGAACAAAGATGATGCGGACTCAACAGATGTTCCCGCCATCCAGGTTACCGCTCCCGGCCAGACGGCTGCCCCTGTTGATGATTCCAAGCCGACTTCCTTCCTCCCTGCCGCATCAAACTCCGAGTCGGCCCCCGCCCACGTCCGTCTCCGTTACATCCACGCTCTATCCACCCCTCCGCGATGGCACCTCGAGTCCGAGCTGGCCTATGCCTGGGCCGGCGTCGGTTCCATGACGTCCGCCCTGGAAATCTTCAAGCGCCTGAAGCTGTGGGCCGAAGTCGCTCTCTGCTACGCCAGCGCCGCCGCCGCCGAAGACGAAGATGGCCGCGGCAGCGGAGGAGAAGACAAGGCCAAGGGCATCATCCGCTGGAGGCTCTTCAACAAGACCGGAGTCACGACGCCTTCCTCGTCCGAGCCTGACGACGAAATCGTCGGCCAAGACGTCGGCTTCCTCAAGGCATCCGACTTCTCCGGACCCGAACGACAGCCCCCGCCGCCCAACGCCCCCCGTCTGTGGTGCATCCTCGGCGACCTGGAGAACGACCCGGCTCACTACGAGCGCGCGTGGGAAATCTCCAAACACCGCTACGCTCGTGCCCAGAGATCGCTGGGGGAATACCACCTCGGCCAAAAGGATCTCCTCAAGGCCCTCGAAGCCTACAAGAAAGCCACCAGCGTCAACAGACTCAGCCCCGACATGTGGAACCGTCTCGGCGACATCAGCCTCCGCCTCGGCCTCTTTGAAGACGCGGCAGAGGCATACAGCCGCTCCATCGGCTGCGCAAACGACACCGAGGGAGGCGAAGGCGCCCGGACATGGAGCAACCTGGGCAGCGCCCTCTACAGCCTCTACTGCGAACTGACAGCCCCCGGCAACAAGGACGCCAAAGCAAACGAAATCAAAACTACCAGCGCTGACGATGACGAAGAAGAGATCTCGACAAACGCAGAAGAGAAGCTCACCCCCCGCGACCCAAGCAAGCTCCTCTCCCAATCGCTCGCGGCCTACAAACGAGGCGCCTCCATCGCCCACGACAACTGGCGCATCTGGGACAACGTCGTGACCCTCGCCTCGCGCATCCACCCGCCTCCCTTCGCGGACATGGTCCTCGCCCTCTCGCAAATCATCCGCATCCGCAAGTCCGAGCACGCCCTCGACGCCAACGTCCTCTCCGCCCTCCTCCAGGACGCCATCCTCTCCAAGGAGGACAAGCCGCCCGTTGCCGGCGGCGTGTACGAGCCGCCCCGGGGCTCCGTCGAGCGCCTCGTCATCCGCCTCGTCGAAGAGGAGGTCGCGCCGCTCATCACCACCCGCGCCGAGCTCTGGACGCTCGTCGCCCGGCTGCGCGCCTGGAGGAACGACTTCGCCGGCGCGATTGACGCCTCGGAACGGGCCTGGCGCGCGGCGGTTGGCGGCGGGGGTGGTGGTGGTTCCGGGAGCGGGCTCCTTCCGGGCGATTCGTCGTCCGCAGACTGGACGAGCGACGAGGCGGCGTGGAGGGAGGTCGTCAAGCGCACGGACGAGCTCGTCTCCGTGCTGGAGAACTGGGGGCCGGAGGTCGAGAGCATTGGGGCCAAGTGGAAGGGCAAGGCGAGGAGCGCGGTGCGGAGCGTCATGGGACGGGGCAAGGCGACGTGGGAGGGGAGCGAGGGGTGGAGGACGTTGGAGGGTTTGATGGAGGGTTTGAAGGTGGACAGGAGTTGATGTAGTAGAGTACAAGCCAACTTGGAATAAAATAGGATAGAATAGGAGTGCAAAATAAAAAGGCAATGAAGCATTTGCTGATGGCGCGTGTATATGACCTCTGCGCTCGAAGCGTTCCGATACCAGTGCCACCAGACACATAGACACAAGATTTGACATATAGCTTTATGTTAACTATCAAGATCCGACAGAGCATGTTACATAAAACTACACTTGTTAACTGTCAAGCATCTGACCTTCTGTCCACACAGCGCTTTTCCTCCCGCCACGGTGACAGAGCGTCGAGTCCATCCAAATCAAAAGACCAAACATACTCAAGCTCAGACAGGAAATCACAAGCAGTCAACGCTCCTACAAGAACCCTATTTCTTGCCCTTCTTGCGGCCGGGGACGACCTTGAAGTCGGCGCTCTGCATCGCCGACTCGGTGTCCTTGGCCTGCGAGACGTTGCTCTTCTTGGCCACCTCGCTCCAGCCGCCGCCAGAGCTCGACGCCTTGCTCTCCGTCTGCGGTTGCTTCTCAACAACGCCCTTCTCCGCCAGCTTCTTGCGGCGAACGTATTCCTCAGCAAAGTGTCGCCCGTCCATCGTGGTGGAGTTGGCATATACAGCGTCGGCAATCAACCCGGTGTCAAGGGGCAAGACGGCGAGATCTGCCTGGAAGCTCGTGACTGTAAGACGCATCGTTAGTTGAGATTCTCAAGGCTTGGATGTGCAAATATGACTTACTATCATTCACGCCCGTGATTCCCCGGGAGAGCTCTCTGTAAGCCCACTTGTTGAACTCGTCCATGGCAGTGTTGGCCGAGCCAGCATTGTTCACAATGGACTTGGGCACCAGTTTGACGGGGGTGGCCAGGGCAGGCTTGGCGCTGCTGACGCTAGCTGAGCGACTCTGCACCTGAGATGGAACTGTCGACGGGCTCTTCACCTTGCCACCGGCTCCAACAGTGGCCCAACCGCTTCCACTGGTCAGGATGGGAGAGGGGACCGTCGGGGCGGCAGTGTGATTCGGCTTGCCGGCGAGGTTGGCGTAGCTTTTGCCGGCGTTGATGGGAGCGCCGCCACCGCTCTGGATGGCGACTTCCTTGGCTTTCTGCTTCCGCAATTCCTCTTCGCGTTGGATCTCAGCCAGCGTCTTCTTTGTCACAGCAGCCCCGGGCACTGCGCTCGGGGTGCTTCCCTTGGACTTGGCAGCCCCAGGCTTAGCCCAAGGGCTGACGGACGAGACCGGCGAGCTTTGGCCCCAAGTGCTAGTTGCTGGGAGACCGGCGTTGGCGGCCGCAGCGGCTGCGGCAGCCGACTTCTCTCTCTCCCTCAGCAGGGCGGCCTCTTGCTCCATCGCCGCCTTTCGCATGGCAGCGGCAGCCTCTTCGGCCTTTGCAGCCTTGCGTGCCTCGGCTTCCTGGATTTCCTTCAGGCTGGGGCCCTTCTGCCCCTCCTGGCCGGGGTCTTTGGCCCAGGGGGCCAGCGGGGGAGGCTGAGCGATAGCGTCGGGGGTCCCGTTCTGCGACCGGTTGAACTGCTCAGGCAGGTTGGACCTGGCTCTCTGCGCCGTTGGTGCCGGAAGAGGGGTCATGGTAGCTGGAGGTGGGAACGGCATTGGCATCCCGGGTTCACTCTGCTGCTGAGGCGCAGGGGGAACAGCTGCAGACGCGACGGAGGCTTGCTGAGTCTTCTGGACCTGCTGGGTCAGAGACAGTGACGACGTCGCCTCTTCCACCGGGGCCTTCTTCTTGGATCCTTTGCCAGCCTTGGTAGCTGGGGCGATGGGTTCGCTTCGCTGCTCGACGGAGACGACCGTCGTCGTCGTAACAGTCGTCGTCTCTTCCGGCTTTGCGGAGATCTCTTGCTGTTCCTCGATCGCCGCTACAGCAGCTTGCTGGGCGTCATGCTCGGCGCGAAGATCTTCAAATTCTTTCAAGCGATCTTTGAAACCTTCATCGTCCTCCTTCAGCTCGTTAGCTTCTGGCAGACCGTAGCGTAGACTTGCGTCGCCCGGAGTACCAATGGGCTGAGGCGCACCAGATTCAGTACCGGCAGGCTCGCCCTGCAAGGATACGAGCATTTGCCGTTCAGTGGCCGAGAGATTCACCAGGTCCTCGGGCCTGAAAAGCTCGCCGTTTCCCATGGAGGCGCGGACGGCAGCGGGGTTGGCGGCACCGGGATGGGTGTCGAATACAGTGGCCTGGCCGCCGCCCAGGGGCCCAATGGGCTGTTGATGCGGCAGCTGGTGATGTTGCTGCTGAGGAACTCCCAGAGGCGATGTCATGCTACCGAAGCTCGGTTGGCTCTGGAGGCTATGAGCACTGGAGTGATGCTGGAGGCTTGGCTGTATCTGAAACTTGGCCATGGCCTGTTGTCGCATCATAAAATCTCGTTGCTGGGCCATGAGGAACTGCTCTTCTTGTTTGCGACGCTCGAGGTTGTTTTGCTCCTCGGCAGTCAGAGTCCGGCCAAATGTTGGGAAGACACCGCTGAGGGGCGGGATGATGCCACTTCCGGTACCAGGTCCAAATGGGCCGCTCTGCATTGGAGGTCCGTGAGCAATGCCGATCTGGGGAACCAAGAATGGCTCGCGGGAGTTGCCAATGCGTCTGATGAGCTGGCCGAGAGGCTCGAATTCGGGGTCTTCCACCTTCTTCACTCGTAGGTCGGGGGTGAAGAAGTTGGCTTTGTACCAGTCATTCATCTCCAGCCCGGTGAACGGACCTTGAATCTGGCCCTGGGGGTCGAGGTAGACCCAACGCATCCGATCAGGCATCACCATTTGGCGAACCTGAGCAGATGGTGGCTCCACGCCGGCCTGGCCGCCACCAAAGGGTAATCCGCCACTAACCGGCGTAAACGACTGAGGCGCTCCAGCGGCGATGCCAGGCTGTCCGGCGTCTGAAGTTCCAAAGGCGCCGAGATTCCTGGAGCTGTCACTAGAGGGGAACAGCTCCTCAAAGACCCCGCGGTTGGATCGCATGGGGCTGTCGGTGTCTCGAGTCGGTACCGTAAAGTTGCCTCGACCAATGGCACCGAGCGGGTTGCTCTGTCGTAGGTCGCCAAGAGAGTCGGAAAGGCTGCTCTCGTGCTCATGCGCTTGCATCTGGGCTTGCATGGCGGCAGGGAATAGAGAGCCCAACTTGCTTCCGCGACCGATGCTACCGGTGTTGGATGGTCCAAACACGCCTCCCAGGTTGCCCAGACCGGGAGACTGCATCTCACCCATTGGGCTAAAGAGAGAGCTGCCAAACGCTCCTCCGAAGGTGGAGCGCTCACGGTCGGGAGTTCCGGTGGATGGACCAGCCGGCGCAGGCCAGCCGGACAGGTAGGCTTTGGCGCCTACGCTGGACGTCTGGCTACGGTCGCTTCCATCAAAGGCGGCGCCGAACCCTCTGGAAAGCGTGCTATAATTAGAGTGTGGCTGCTCGTGGCCCACGCCGTGAACCTTGTCTCCGGCGCCCGAATCAGAGGGACCTTCGTTATCGTGACGCTCAGCCGGGGGGCTGCGGTATGGGTTCGTTTCCGAGGGGCTAGCAGGGCCATTGGTCCCGGAAGGCGAGCCGCCCAGGTTCAAGTTGGACATGCCAAAGTCACCAGTGGAGCCAAAGAGCGGCGCTCGGCTGGAAGGGGGCTGAGCTTCCGGAGCAGCATCCCCCCCAAGGGCAGCGCTGCCAGTCACCTCATCACCCCCAAACGGATCGGTGTCAGTCCGGGGCCTGCTGCGCCAAGACTGCTGAGCTGGAGGGTTCTGGGCCTCGGAAGGTTTGCTCGCGGAGCTTTCACCACTGTCCTTGGGGATGAGGTGAGCCAGTCGACTGCCTCCACCGGCACCTCCCGGCCGCTTGTCGCCAATGGCTGGCGAGGTGGGCAGGGCAAAACTGCCAAAGGCACCACCAGCAGCGCCAGAGATGCTGGAGGATGGCCACATTGACGTCATGCTCACACCGGTCGAGGTGTTGGCTCGCAGTAAGCTAGGAATCGCTGGCTTTGGGGCATCGCGCGATGCCGATTCGGCGCTTTCGGGATCATCAACGTCGGACTCTCGCAGATCGCCGGTCTTTCGCGAAAACCAGGGGTCATCACGCGAAAACCGACTGGCGGTCGGCGACGCAACATTGCTCGGGCTGAACGGGTTGGAATCGACCGTTTCTCGTCGGCGAGTGCTGGGTCGGACGGCGGACGACGGAGAGCTCACCCCAAAAGTGCTTCCTGGGGCATGGGAAAGAGACGGTTTGCGCCCGTTGACGGCAGCCTGGTGGCCTTCTTTGGCTTGCGTGGGAGGCTTGAGCGGGGAGTTGATATCGGAAGAAAAGGCCTGTCAAAGTCAGTCAACCAGCACTTTCATGGCAGCTTTCCTACTGCCAATGGAATGAAGATTTTCAAACCTCTTTCTCCTCCTCAGAAAATGCCGAGAGCCCTATGGGAGCCGTCTGGCCGTTGGCATCCCAGCAAGTGCCGGGATCCTGAGGCACGTGGTTCTCGTTGCTCTTCCCCCAGCCCCTTGCACCAGCGCCACCGGTGTTGCTCGGGTCCCAACCTGGGATGAACAGGTGAGAGGGGTTACCGGTAGGCCTCTGGGACTGGTACATCTCGAGCAGGTCGTCCTTGGTATAACGTGAGGGACCGATTTCGTACGTCGTGGGCTGTGCGATAGAGGTCTCCTCGACGCTGGGAGGCTGGACAGCATTGTCGTTCGCAGGCGGGGGGTTTGAGGACTGGCTCAGAGGCGTGGTAGAGGAGCGGCGGAAAGTCAGGGTGCCGTTGGCTGAACGGCCATCTCTCCGAGACCTAAGGAAATAACTTTTGTTAGCCGCGATTGTATACTGGAAGACAAACATGACCCGTTTCCGGACAGAAGTAGAGGGGCACTGTGTCGTGAGCCCATCCCCGCCATAGGAAAAAAAATGTCCGAGATAAAAGTGATGAAAAATGACAAAAATAACATAAAATGGATAATGTCCGACACGGCACCCGCTAGTGCACGGAAGCAGGACAAATGACATGCATGACACAAAATCTCCTGGGCGTCCCGAGCTCGCGTCCAGCACAGACGTCGGCGAGGGGCAAAGCGACTCACCATTCGCCTCCAGCAGATGGCCTTCCATCACTCCTACCACCTCTCGCATCGCGGTTTGCATTCTGGCCGGCAGCGGCCGAGGCAAAGCTTGATGGGAGATTGGACGGCATGGTTGGACGTGTCCCACGGGTCGTGATCGTGTACCGAGGCGCGGGGTGTTGGTCGAGGTGCAGGGTCAATCGTGGGTCGACTGACGAGGTTTGGAAGAGGCAGACACGGGTGGGTGGGTGTCTGGGCAGGTGTGAGATGTGGTCAAACAGGTGCTGCGGGCGGCAGGAGATGGCGAGTGCAATGGCGCGGGCGAGAGATCGAAGAGTCGTTCTGTGGTCGCAGGCGGGCGAGATCGCGAGAGGGCTGAAGGCTGGAACGAGAAAACTAAGAGCTACCAGTGCTGTGCTGGCGTTAAAAAAACCTGAGGTTTGGGAAAGATAAAATTGGTTCCGGCCTGTTCCCCAGGCTGTATGTACAGCGAGGCTGGGCGCCGCTAGGCCGCAACGGGCCACGCCGGACCTTAACCGAGCCTACTGTGCGAGGGCTAGATCCTAATTGAGGAACCTTGCTGGGCGGTATTACGACATGCTGCCATAAAGCGCGGCTGCGCAGGGGCGGGGGTTCCCTGGCGAGGGAGGGCATGATGATGGTGATTGGAGAGCCGAGACGGAGGTGCCAATTGCGAAAAGTGCCGGGTAGCAGGAGAGAGGCTGTTGAATACCAAGTACAGTGAAGACTTGGGATCTGCCCTGATGTGGTGGCTGGGCAAATGGAAGACGGCTTCACGTGGAAAAGGATTCATCACAGGCAAGATCGGCATTGTTGACAGGCCTCAGCCACAACCGGCAATTGACCATCATGGACTGTCTCTTAGCATATGATACCGGTGCTTTAGAAAAAGGGTTACGTGCGCAACACCAACAGATGTCGAGTGCTGCTCGACATACAGTATCCTCGGCTAATAAGGTAGGTATGGTAAGGTATCCAGAGGCCAGCCTGAAAGGGCCCGACTATCTAGGTACCGACTGAGCGTATCTCAACATGCGGGCGGAATCGCAATTAGAATGCAGTCACTGACGGAGGAAGATACAATTTATCGAAAAACACGCAAGATCTCATCTGAATTGGGACATTATGACTACAGACGCTTGTGACCAAGTCTTACAAGGGCAAGGTTCTGCTGTGAGACTCAACGTAAAAGGCGCCTCCATCAAGCTTCCACAAGAAGCTTAACTTGGTACGTATCTCATCTCACATCAAAGCCACAGACACAGTCATTAGCGAACATCGAATGATATTGCTTTATCAAGATCCTAACCAAAAAGAAACTCCCTCAACGCCTTTTCCGTACAATGAAAGCCGTCTAATGTCTAGTCCATAACTGTATAACCGATCCGTAACCAATGACCAATCCGTAACCGAGTGCCATGTCCGTTAACCAATTGCCCAGTTCCGTGCGGTAGAGTGCCCCCTCCATTGTGTCGTCTCGCCTGTGCATCATACTAATTCATAGTGAGATGCCGCAATGGCCGCCGGAGTCGGAGGTGGCAAGTCTCGCAGCATTCGTTGCTGTTGCCGGTGCCTCCACAGTCTCCTCTCTTGCCTCTGGAGCTCTATCCGCGCCGCTTCTCGCTGCTCGTCAATTCGCGCCTGTCGAGCCTCTTGCCGTCTTCTATTACGGACAATGGGCAGGACTCTGCGGAACCACTGGTACCAGTTGAGCCTAGAGTAATGGAGTCAGCTTCTGCTTGGCCATGGTGACTACGGGAGAAGATTGTTACGCACAGTTGCCAGAATGCGACCATCAGGAATAGAGCAAGGTTGGCCCAGTAGTACGCGGGCCAAGCCTTTCCATCCCACCCGGACTTTTCGGCCAGCTCTGGATTGCCGAAGAAATGGCAATAGCTGCCCGAGTCCAAAGGGGAATTTTTCCGGAGGTGACGGACGTTGCACCTCACGAAGCCAGCGATGACTATGCCCATGTTGAGGGCAAAGATGACCACCCAGAGAATGGTCACTGTCAGGGTGGTGCCAACTGTTACCCAGTCATGGTAGTAGTTGGCGAGACGACGAGAGCAGAACACACTGATGGCCAGGAAGACCAAGCCGATCTGGAAACAGTTAGCTGCGCGCTCTCCAGAGGCCTTGTATCTATCTGCACGTACCAGAACCAGGTTTAACGCATATATTGGGAATGCCTTCTGGTAACCGAAGATTCCCATCCTCTCGTAGAGGGCGTTCACGTTGGCCAGCAAGAGCAGGCCGCCAAAGGTTCTCAGGACCGGGCCCACGAAGGGCACCGGCAGTTGCCAGGGCGTGGTATCATCCAGCGCCCACAGAGGAAAGGAGAAAGGCATTGTCGAAAAGAAGATGGTGTGTGTATGGTGGAGATGATTGTGAGATGAAGATGAGATGATGATTACTCTGGGATATCGAGGGAAAGTCGTCCCTTCTTATACTTGAGTATTGCCCGCAGGACAGGTCCTGGCACCTCTGGATCCAGCCATCGTTCGGTTGAGCCGGCGATGGCTTAGCAACTTCCTGAACTCTGCGTCGAAGAGATAAGGACCCTCGCCAAAATTAACCTTAAAACCTTGTATCGTAGCTAAATCTCGCTTGGCTTTGAGATGGCGTCGTTAGAGGCTTTCAAAACTCGCCGCAAAGAGATGAAGGGTGCCTCAGGGTCAGCCTTAACCAATGGAAGCCAGCCATCGTTTGTCGTCGGGTTGTCGTCGCGCAGAATCCCCCCCATCTCATCTTGAAAAAGAAGAGTTTGTCTCCGTAATCAACCGAGAAACTCCATAGATTCGGTAGCCGTCGTCCGGTTGAGGTTGCAGCGGCGTAGGGCAGTTCGTAGTTCGCGGTGAGGAGAAACCCATCCCTTCTGGGAGTAGGGTTTGACATCCCAGCAAACCGAACTGACGCCCACATTTCGGCTGCTAAACATTCTTGAGAAAGTGTGACTTAAATTTCCTGTTGGCGCGGTCGGCAGATCGGAGCATCATCTGGTCTCCATGGACTTCGAAAGCGAATCTCTCCGGGGCATCGTTGTTCTGTTGGGGAGCAGCAACTTCCACACGGAAGACAGTGCCCTCTTTGGGAATAACTTTGAGCCCCCTCTTTCTTGTGATGAGCTCCACGACGAACTTGCGGTCCCTCACAATGATGCCCTTGGTGCCCACTCGTCCAGGACACCGACTCCTGACCACTTCGGCTTCTGCTCCGTGAAACTCGGCGCTTGCCAGCTTCGCCGCAGCCAATGGCCCGCCGGTGTACACGTCGTTGCCTAAGATCTCCGTGGCGTAGCCCATCCAAAGCTTGTTCAGCCCCTCGTAGGTCTCATATCTTTGCCCGCTTTTCGGAATGTCGTAGAGGCCCAGTTGGCGGCGCTCGCGGGCAGATAGCGGCTTCGGCCTCTGCTTCCCGCGCAACTTGTCCTGCTGGCGAGCTCTGTGACGCGCGGCCCTGGCATTGAGAGCCGCAGGAGGGGGAGATGTCGGCTTGAGCTGCAGGGTGCGATACTGGATCTTGTCGCTGTAGATGCGCTTGGCGCTGTCTGGAGAGTGTGCCCTGGCGAGCAAGTCCTGCGTCACCTTGATCTGCTCGGACGTCGCCATGGTGCCCTTGTGCGCTTCTGAATGTTCGAGCCGTTGCTTTGCACAATGGCAAGCTCTTTGCGGCCAAATATGAGGGTTTGATACGCAGGAGGTGAGGTGAAGACGTCGCTGACAGACGGAATGTTGTTAGAAAAAAAACCAATCGGCAATTATTTGATGTCACAGCTTGGCAGCCTTGCAGGTGGAGCTTTGGAGTTCCGAATCCCTCCACACCCGCAAGTTCTCGGTACGAGGCCACGGGTACCTGTGGGTGCGCCGTAAGCTGTGCTCGGTACGGGCGAGCTCGGTGCTCGATACCGGCATGGCTCGGGCGTTTCTGCCGTTGGATGCAACCCTACGAACGTGAAGTTTGTGTGAAATCTGACATTCGTTGGATCACATGCTTCTGGAACTGACGGCTTCCAAGAGTCGATCCCGGCTCTGCTGTTGGAGGTACATTCGCCAAAGTACTGCAGTTGCCCCACAGCCGCGGCAGTCCAGGTACAGAGCAAAAAGTACTCCGTACCCCGGATCAGAGCTGGATCGTCAGACTCCATGTTTTGGTCATCCACTCTTTTGTTTACTGCCGTTGTCAGACGCAATCATCCTCGGCATCGCCTGGACGCCTCTCTCTTATAGCATGACCATGCGCTGATGCTCCATTGATGTCGACGCCCTTCCGCCGCCCTCGATAACTCCTGCCTATCTCGACAAACCACCCCCATCCCTCCTCTTATCTCCGCCAATCTCCAGCCATGTCCCACGATGGCGATGCCGTGGACGAAGCCAGCAGCTCGGCCCCCGACCTCCAGATCTTGGGCGATGAAATCACGCTGCAGCCCAGCGGCTTCGTCGAGCCCAGGCCTGTCGCCCAGGAGGACAAAGAGGAGGCCCTGATGAATCACTCGCACTCGTTTCGCAGCGAGCCGCTTCAGTGCGTATTTGCCGAGGTTGACTGGCTTGGCTGGTTCCCGCTAACTCCGCTGGCAACAGGTTCCTTCGCGAAGTCTCGCTGTATGTGTCTGGCCAGGGATGGCGAGCCTACGATCGCGTCATCGGCCAGCCGGTCTTCTATTCTGGCTTCTCGGAGAATATGATCTCGATGGTGCTGTCGGCGCCGCTGCTGCAGAAGCGTATCGCCCAGCTCGCCGACGATCGCCTGGCTGTTGAGGAGAGGGAGGGACTGCTAAACAAGAATGACAAAGACTACGAGACGAAGCGTGCGCAGCGGCGAAATATAATAGAAAGTTGGCTCCAGGAGGTTGCGGAGAAGCTGACGGACAACATGATTTGCAAGATGGAGAGCAACACCTTCATCCGCGGCGCATACTACTTGACCATGCAGCTCGTCACACGCGCCTACCACCAAGGGATCCACGTTTCCAGCGAGGAGGTTCTGCGGCTACGGAGGGTGGCAGAGCTGGCGGCGAAGAAGAAGCAGAGCATTGTGTTCCTGCCGAGCCATCGATCACACGTCGACTATGTCTCTCTGCAGCTGATATGCTACCGCCTTGGCTTGACATTGCCTGTGGTCGTAGCTGGAGACAACCTCAACTTTCCGATTGTAGGGGCTTTCTTGCAGCACGCTGGCGCCATGTGGATCAGGAGATCTTTTGGCGACGATGCTCTGTACACAGCAGTCGTGCAGTCCTACGTTGATACTCTGTTGCAGGGAGGCTACAATTTCGAGTGCTTCATCGAGGGAGGAAGGTCGCGCACAGGCAAACTGCTGCCTCCCAAATTCGGTATCCTGAGCTTCGTCCTAGACAGTGTCCTCTCTGGTCGGGTCGAGGACACCATAATATGCCCTGTCAGCACCCAGTACGACAAAGTTATCGAGACGGAGGGCTACGTCAATGAGCTGCTTGGTATGCCGAAGAAGAAGGAGAACTTGGCTGACCTCCTCTCCAACGGCCCCTCGATTCTCTCCCTGAAGCTCGGCAGGGTCGATGTTCGATTTCACGAGCCGTGGAGTCTGCGAAAATTTGTCGACAACCAGCTTTCCAAGCTATCCAGCATTCCAGCAGGACTCAACACAGACCAGCACAACCCCGAAGTGCGAGCGGTCCGAGAGAAGATTCTGCGTGCCCTGGGCTACAAAGTCCTCAGCGACATCAATGCGGTGTCGGTTGTGATGCCTACCGCCCTCATCGGCACCGTACTACTCACTTTACGTGGACGCGGTGTTGGCAAAGGCGAGCTTATTCGTCGCGTAGAATGGCTGACGTGTCGCGTTCGAGCCAAGGGGGGACGAGTCGCGCATTTCGGAAACGCGCCTCTTTCAGAGATTGTCGACCGAGGACTGGAAGTCTTGGGCAAGGATTTGGTGGGTGTGGTGGAAGGACTGGCTGAGCCGACCTACTACGCCGTCGACCGCTTCCAGCTGTCCTTTTATCGCAACATGACCATCCATCTCTTCGTTTACGAGGCTATCGTCAGCGTGGCCATGTACACGCGCATCAAGCGCGGAGGCGGCCCGGCGTTCCAGGATATCCCGTACGAGGAGCTCAAGGCGCAGGTTCTCTTCTTGTCTTCGCTGTTCCGCGGAGAGTTCATCTTTGCCGGTGCCGGTCTCGCCGCCAACTTGGATGCCACGCTGCGCGGCTTGGAGGCCGACCATGTGGTTCGCCTTGATCGGGATGACCATGGGAACATTACGACCATCGGACTGTCAGACGAAGAGCGCAAGGCGGGGCGAGAAAACTACGACTTTTACTGCTTCCTCATCTGGCCGTTTATCGAGGCTAGCTGGCTCGCGGCGGTGTCGTTGATGGGCCTGACGCCGCCCAAGGATAAGAACGGCGATGTTTGGATCGAAGAGGCAAAGGCTCAGAACAGCGCACAACTGGTAAGCAAAGCATTCTCCTCACTTCTTTTGCTCTTTCTTCATGGCAATTACTCTTTGCTCACTCTGGATATCGTTTACAGCTCGGCAAGACGCTCTACCACCAAGGCGACCTCTCCTACTTCGAAGCCGTCAACAAGGAAACGCTCAAAAACTCCTACGCCCGCTTCGAGCAGGAACAAATCATCAACGTCGTCAAGTCAAAGGACACCAAGATCCCGCGGCGCCTCCGGCTCGACCCGTCCTGGCGGCCCTCGCGCGACCCCGAGACGGGCGCCCTGCTCGCGGAGGGCAAGCTCTGGGACTTTACGGAGAAGATTGCGAGGTCGCGGCGCGAGGGCAAGAATCGGCGTGACGGGGCGACAGTGGCCAGCCGCGTGCTGCGGCTGACGGATGACCTGGGCAGGAAGCTCTTTGAGGAGGCGGAGGAGGCGGAGAAGAAGGGGGGCAAGGCCAAGGTGCCGAGTAGGCTGAGCAAGGAGGAGCAGGAGGCGGTGGATCTGAATGTCAGGAGTGCGAGGAGGAGGAGGACGTTGGAGGGGAGGGCGCATTTGTGATATGATTTGCCCCCCTTTCTTTTGTTCTTGTATTATACCCCATAATGTTGATGCTATATGTACACAAAAAGGAGCAAGATGCAACAAGAGCTTGCGCGCATCAGCAGCCGCTTTGATGCTCCGTTTTCACCTGCCATGAATAGTTACATCTCTATAGTATAAAATTGTCCCTGTTTTACCATGCTCTTCTTTTAGAATCCTACTAACTGTACTTGTTCATCAATCGTAATCTCCGTCTAGCCTTCCAACCTGTCTGCACCCCCTCTTTCACTCGACTTTAGGCGCCAGAATGATATTGTCAATCAGTCTTACCGCCGGTCCACCAGAGTGTCCCAGGTCCTCGCCCTCCTGAGGCTCCTCGACGGGCTTCATCTTGATGGCGCCGCTGAGGACAGCCCCCTTTGTCGAGTCGACAGAGTCCACCTCTTGCAGCGTGTCCGGGTCAGCCAGGGAGATGTAGTCGACCTCGTACGTAACCCGCTGGGAAGGCGGGAGCTGCATCTGCTCTCGCAGCACGCTCTCGACGACCTGGTTCGCCGCCCCAAGGATATCGCTGCGGTTCAACTTTTCGGCATCGTACTGTTCCTGGGCGGCCCGCAGCGCCTTGCTCAGCACAACGGCCACACGGCGGCGGCGCGGACCGAGGTAGACGTTGCGCGAGCTCAGGGCGAGGCCATCGGGTTCGCGGGTGGTCGGGCAGACGACGACGTCTGTGGGGACCATGAAGTCGCGAACCATGCGCTTGATGACAACGGTCTGCTGGACGTCCTTCTGCCCAAAGTAGACGCGGTCAGGCTGAACAATGTTGAAGAGCTTCATGCAGACGGTGGCGACACCGCGGAAAAAGGTCGGCCTGCTGGCGCCCTCGAGGACCTCGCCCACGGGCGTGATGGTGACGAAGCTGCCCTTGCTGTCAACCTCCTGCCCCGGGAAGCCGGAGGGGTACATCTCGGACGTGGGGGGCGCGAAGACGGCCGAAATGCGGCCCAGGTTTGCGCCGTCGTCGGCGAACTCGCGGTCGAGGCGGGCCAGCGCGGCGACGTCCGTCTCCCAGGTGACGGGGTACGAGGCGAGGTCCTCGCTGATGCCGAACTGGGCCGGGTTGACGTAGATGCTGACGACGACGTGGTGGTTCTCACGGGCGGCGGCGCGGATGAGCGAGAAGTGGCCCTCGTGCAGGGCTCCCATCGTGGGCACGAGGCCGACGGAGCGCATGTTTGTCATGTGAGGCTTGCGCCATGTTCGCACAGCGTCGACGAGGCGGAGGACCTTGATGGACGTCGAAGGGATTGTCTCGGCGGCGGCGCGCAGCGATCGCGCGGAGCGGGCGGCGAGGCGCGCGAGGGAGGCTTGCATTGTGAGCGTTCGGTCGAGTTCAATCGATTGTCGTTGGTTGTTGTTGCGTCTGTCTGTTGGTTGGTCTTTAAGGGACGGTCGATGCTCTTGTGTCTCTAGTTGTAATAGTCCGTGGTGCTGCTCCAAGAGAAGAGAGCGTCGGGGATGAGGCAGGGTCTTGAGCGAATATATAACTGCGTCGAGAAGAAGCTCTCCGCTCAGCCGAAGCGTTCAGATGGGAGTCAAAGCCGTCGTCGCCATCGCCGACGCGCAATGGCTGAGTCAAGGAAACGATTTCGTGATGGTTTCTGCCGCGGAGTTTTGGGGACGAGGAGGGGTGGAACGGAGCGTCTGCCGTAATTTTTTTTTGGAGATTTGGAGAGAGAGGGAGAAAAAAAAGAGCGGATTTTCCTGGCTGCAGCCGGCGCGTCACGACCGGGAACAAAACCAGGCTGGCGGGTTCAGCCCTCCATGACGCTGGAAGGATTGCAAGGAGAGACAGAGAAGAGAAGCGAGGGAAAAGAACTGGAGGGTTGCATAGGCGAGATCGGAGTTGGCCGTGATGGTTGGGCTGGGAAGGAGCGGTCCCACGTGAGATCACCAGATGGAGGAGCATCGCGTAAGACGTCATTTCATCATGCCAGTAATTCCTCCGTCTCTCTTCTTCTTCTTCTTCATCATCGCCTCCAGCTTCTCTTCTTGCTTCCTCCTTTCCAGGGCATCGACGGGCGCAGCAGCCTCGTCTCCTGGCCGCCGTCTCAATAGTACATGCAATACCTCGCAGGCCAGTCATTGCGCTCTGCAGTTGGGCATCATCTTGCCTCATTCTCCGGCCAAACAGCTCAAGTAAGCTGACTGTCTACCCGCTTTATGCATCACGGACCAACACGTATCTTCGGAGATCAATGCCCAAGGACACAAACATGCGCAAAGTAAGTTGTAATTTCTCTTTTGCAGCATATGATCTATATACTATACACAAAGGAAAAAAATGTGTCGAGTTCACGCTTCGCCAATTATGACCCAAAGCATCATGGATCCCGCTTTATCCAGACAAAAGAAACACGCCAGAATAACGCCTGCAATGCAATCCAGCCCGGCCTTGTCAGGCTTTGTCAAGGATGACGGGTCCGGGCATATGTCTGTATGACATGTATCGTAACAGTATGAGATGAATGGCATCAAAAAACATCTATGCTGCTCCTCCGGCCTTCTTGAGGGCGTCTTGGTTGAGCTTCTGCCACCGCATTCCGAGGCCAATCAAGGTGGCCACTCCTGTGCAGGCCACACACATGGCAAACACAACCCTGAGGCCGGCCATGTAGCCATCAATGACAAATGGCTGCTGGTCCACGGGAAACTTGTTCCGGATCTCAGTCGCGCCGGTCAAGACAAGCGTTGCCTCGCTGACCTGGGGGGCGTGCTGGAGAACGTTCCTCACCATGGTGTTGATGAAGGCTGACTGGGATCCAGACACAAGGAAAGCTCCGCCCAGGCCCTGGAAGAAGAGAAGCATTCCGGTGGCAGAGGCGAGATCCTTGGGATCGGCCAAGGCCTGCACAGCAATCATGGGGATTTGAAAGGCCGTGCCCCAGCCAGCTCCTGCCACGATCTGGTACCCAATCCATTTGCCAGTTGATGTATTCTTGCCCAGCGTATACAAGAGACCAGCTCCGATCGTGGCAACGGATGTGCCGCCAAGCAAGAGAGGCTGGTACCATCCGGTAGCACTGACAAGCATGCCGCTTGCGACCGTGGAGAAGGAGACGGCAATGATGAAAGGCAGGTTGCGGACGCCGCTCATGGTTGGGTTGGTGCCGTGGACTGACTGGAAGTAGATGGGGATATAGTAGATGGCAGCAAAGAAGCCGCCGGCCTGGATGAAGGCAATGAGAGACATGACAAAGTTGGTGCGCTTGGCGAACAACTTGGGAGGCACCATGGAGTACTCGTCCTGGTACCACTGCACAAACGCCCAAGCACCGATGATGAGGACGAATCCGACCAGCAGGCCAATGACGACGGAGGAGTCCCAGGGGTGTGCGACGCCGCCATACTGGACGGCCAGGATGTAGCTGATGGTGGCTCCCATCATCAGGACCACGCCGAGGGGATCCATCTGCCGAATCTTTTCGAGCAGAGGCGCCTTGACGGGCACCGCATTTCGAGGGGTTTGGAAGAAGACGAAGATGATGGCTGCCGAGACACCGCCAATGGGTAAGTTGATGTAGAAACACCATCGCCAGCTGACGTGATCAGTAAAGGCTCCTCCCAACAGCGGACCGATGACGCTGGCAAATCCATAGGAAGCCCCAATGATGCCGGTGAAGGCAGGACGCTTCTTGGGCGGCGCGGAAAAGGCAATGATGGTGTAGGCACCGGCACCAATGCCGGCAGCACCGAGACCAGCGATGGCTCGGCCGGTGATGAGGGCTTCAGCGTTGGGGGCGGCGCCGCAGATGACGGAGCCGAGCTCGAAGATGATGATGGAGAGGAGGAAGGTTGTCTTGAGCGGAAAATACTTGTATGCCTTTCCCCCTGGACAAGTATGTTAGCATGGGAATGTGGCGCTGATGGAAGAGACCGAATAACTTACATGTAGATTGAAACGCGCCAACGGTCATGAAAAAAGCGGCACCATACCAGCCGGCCTTGTCAAGGCCCTTGAACTCGTCGGTGATCTTGGGGATGGCGGTGGCAACGATTGTCTGGAAACGGACGCAGGTATTAGCTTCTATATCCCCAGGATTGATGGAAAGATGCAAACTCACCATATCGAGACTCAGGAGAAAGACACTCAGCACCAGGGCGAGCACGATGAAGAACATCTTGATGCCCGAAGGGTACTCATTCTCGGCCAGCTCTTCATTCTGGACCGGAGAGTCAACGGTCGTCTCCTCTCGCTTCTCGTCTGACGGCTCATCCCGCTTCTCATCGAGGCCATCGTAATTATCTTTGATGCTGGGCACGGGGGTTTTGCTATCCATATCCTCGTTGAGGGTCGTGCCCGTCGAGGCGACGGTTGCATGAAGCCCTTCAGGGGTCTGAGAATGCCGATGCATGTCTGTCATTGTGACTGGGGGTCCTGTCTTGTCTGTTGCAATATCAGATCAAGATGAGATCCTGGGAAATAGGCGAGCGACAGCTGGGGTTGACAAGGTGTCGAGGCTTGCTCCATCACAGCATCCTGGCCCTCGTCCATTCTATATATACCATGCCAGCATGCGATAAGGTACCACACAGCCTGACCTTGAAAACAGAATTCTCCATCGAAGGCGGATTCCAAGTCCGCTAGGGCCTCATCACTCGGACAGCTTGTACCTCGCCCTTGGTACACTCACGCCCCCTATGGGTCACGGCCACCAGCACCCGTGCTCGTATCTCAGCACTTTAGACTCGCAGACCCGCTGTGGGATGTCGTGTAAGTGCGTTATTGCAGCGTACTATCTCTCGGACACTTTAACGTTTAAACTCCAAAGTCCGCAGGGGTTGATCCGAGATTCGTTGCTGACACTGACGCGGACACCAAGAGGAATTAAGCTCAGCATCACGGCGTGTGAGCCAGATTGTCGATCCTGGTTGGCCGCCTTACGCATGGCTAGCCTGGAAAAGAGGATACTCGTGCTACTATCGAGACGGAGTGACGGAGTGGATTTGCGTGTCCCGCAGGCGGCGCCAGAGTACCGTACTGTACAGTACACGATGTTTGCGTTATGCTTTAGCGGGGAGAGAGTGGCTCGGATGAAGATTCTAGATGTTTGCAGTGGCCAGGAGCGCTGTTCGATGTTGTTCGGACACCAAGCAAAATCCAAAGCATCGATACTGCTTCTACTGATGATCGAGAGCTTGTTACCTGGCAGCAAGGACAGAGATATGCCTGCAGCTATTCAGAACAGCTGTTGAGGTAACATTGGGCTCGGTCCCTTGCATCTCAAGGCATGTACGCGCACCCAACCCGCCAACACTCACTCATCTGCAGGTCGTCTATGTACCTCTTGTTCGCAGCCTGGACTACTACTATAATATCACTTGATGGAGATGCCTAGGAAGAAGAAGGTGTGCGAGTCAGCCCGGATCCAAAGACAAAACACCCAGAGAAACGGGCGAGCATAACGCTTAAACCGACATCACGACGCTAACACGGCCGGGCGATGGGTCAACGCCTCAACAAGCTTCGCGAAGGATCCGGCCTTGCCTCGAACAGGCATCGCGACGAGGCCCCAGTGAGTCACTAGCCGAACGAAATCTCTGCTCAACCGCTCTGCTGGTCCCCCCCCATCCACAGCCGAATCACCACCGTCCACGCCCTCGACTGGCATACGATAATTCTCCTACCGCAAGCGGGCTTACCGTAATCATGGAACCCCACCCCTGTCCCGTCCGGCTCTGCTTGTACGACAGGCCAGTAGGTGCTGTACTGTACGAGTAGGTACATGATACTGCTTCTGGCTGAGGTGAAGCAATCGTGCTAGAATCTAGCCAAGCCAAATAGCCTATAGCCGTGATCATGTCCGTCTCGGAATTAGGACTCCGGGCCCCAAGTGACGAAACATGCTGCAGGGTTTTTCCACCAGCTTCGATTCACGTCTCGACCAAACGGAAGCGAGCGGATGAAATATTGAGCCGGAGTGCGACAACAAGCCATCATCTATCGCTCTATTTCCTTGACGGAGTTGCAACGATTCGGTGCTAGTAAAACAAAAAGCTTTATCAGATTTACTCTTGATTTAGGTCAACGTTGCGGGTGGCTTGATGGAAGGCGTTTGTAAGCCTCGTTCTCGTTTGGCGGAGTTTGGATAATGTCCGCCCGCAGGTGAGACGGGGGACGACCTGATGATTGGACGTTATGACGACACGACGACTCCGAGAGGATGAGGATTGCAGTAGTAGTTTCCATGTTATCTTGAGCGGTTCGTGATCTGCTGTTTTGAAGGATTTGCCAAACAAGAGGATGGGAAGGGAACAATTCCGCAAGGGGGGAAGGGTTTCCGCTGGGCATCAATGCGCTGCTGAGGAGATGAGAGAGCTCTGGGCTATGTAAGGGAGAATCAGTATTCAGCCTTGCGGGAGGATTCGTTTTCCCTGTGATTGAACTGGACAGGCACTGGATGAGGCGTCAATATGCGGGACATGATGCAGGAGGTAATGACTGTTTGGTGTTACACATTTGCTTTTGAATGGCAATGGTCTTGACACCTCTCCTGGTTTGCTCTATAGGATGGAGGTAGGGCAGATCACTGCATCGCAGCAGATGGGACTAATAGACGAAAGACCAAGGAAAACAAGCATCCAGACGCAGATGTACACATTGACTTTCTTTCTGTGCATCACTGTCACGTTGTTTACATGAAGATTGGGCAATTTGGCGATTCACAGTCGGATCTGCTGTGTTTGTCGGCAAGTAGGTAGCTGAATGTAGCAGTTCTCATCTGCATGGCACGGTTCTAAGCTTTGTTTGATGCCCTATGTCCGGGCACTTTTGTTTTGCTTTCGACAATTGCGAGTTTATATGAGAGGGGAGGCATAGGAGGGACTTGAGGTTGAGAATGGGGAGGGATGCTCTTGACGTGATGATGTTGCCACTTACACAACAAGGAAGCTTTGCTCATTGCGAGGCCCTTGGGGATCTCTTTCTCTCGGCAAGTTTGCTTTACATGCTGCATGAGCAATCATCTCCAAAAAAGAGAGTGAGTCCGTATTTCCGAGGGAGGTGTTGTTCAAAGGGCCAAGTGGTCGGTACGTTAGTGTCGCAGGAAGAAGAAATGGTGGTGTTTATGGCGTGCTTTTGTGCCGCGGGTGTGTGAAACTCCGCTGCTTGTGTGTATTATTATGATGTGGTAGTTGTATACTGGACAGTACGTGATACTTTCGTCCTTCTTTTCACTGAATAATCACTTCGTCAAGTGGATTGGGATCGTTTTACATGTGATGCCTTCGTGTTATGTTTTGACTTGGGATTTGCCGTCCAAACAGCTCATTACCATGGGTCCTACTAGGAAGGAAGCCGAAAGGAAGCAAAGGGGGTGTGCAAGCTGCACAGAGCGGCAATTAGGCTCTTTCTTTCGGACTACAAGAGGCTGATTTGAGGCCTGGGAATAGAGGCGCTTCATGGAGACATCCAAAGCTCTTGAGTTTCTTGGGAGAAGAGGGGTGCTTCTTGTACAGAAGTAGGGCCTGCCTTGTGAATTGAGCCCCCCTTTGCCGAGTCGTTGGGGACTTTTTCTTATACTCTGGATCTCACGTCATTATCTCAAGACATGCTCTATTCTGGAACCTCGTAGAGCATGTACTTCATCTCTTTGATAGCTATATCCCATATTGTTAGCGTCTGTACGTGATATGGCTACCCCCAGTACATAGACACGAAGAAACCCCAGAACAGCGATGCTGAATGAAAGACGTGACCATCTCTCGGCACCACCAAACAATCACAACACCGATTGCTCTGGGAGCCATCGACGAGAATCCTGCTGTCATGATATGTCTCCCAGAAGGCGATGGTCGAACCAAGGCCGTCACAGATGTGGTGCCAATGCAGACGGTGGATACTTTGCCAGTCCATCCAAGTCGGTCTTTGTCCACCTCTTATTCGGGCTGGGTGGTGTGGTTGTTCGTTGTCAGTAAAAGCCAGTTCGGAGAGTATCTAGAGCCCGTTCAATGGGGGGTTTGGGAAAGGTTACCGGACATACCGGAGATTGGCTTTGTTGAGAAACCGTATCGCTGGATCGTTTCACGCAAGGATCTTTGCGGGGAAAGATATATCTCGACATTTGGGGTTGTTTGACCATTGTACCATGTCCAGTAACGATGATCAGGTAGGTGTATGTCTCATTTATTAGTACTTCTTCGAGGTAAGATTGTGAAGGCAGAATTATCGGGACCGCAAAGGGCATCTCACCAGATATGAAAAACACATCCTGCTGGAAGAGCCGGGGTGTCTTGACCACCGCAGCACCAAAAGACTTGCATCGGCGGGCATCTTGTCAAGAATATAAACGGGCTTCGTTTGAGGAGCCCACTCCGTGTGTTATGATGAGAGTCCCATTCTACTACTTCATTTCACGAGGTCTGTGTCATTCCCTGACGCGGTCGACAAAATGCCAACAGTATGGCTGAATCGTTTCATTCCAGTCTCCTAGGGCTTCAGAAGCGTGCTCTACTTGTATCGGACTTTGAGGAGAAAGCAAAGGGCGAGGCGGAGAGCGTCTCACGCAGCTTTTGCTACAGACGGGCGAGATTTCCAGTGAACTGACGTCGAGGACTCTCTATCCAACGGGATTTGGGGGCGATGGAATGGGGCTGTACGATAGAACGTGTGCATTGCTGTTTCACGTCAGTTGCCTTGGATGATTTGCCACGATGGAGGCGTGGGTAAGTTGTTTCGGACAGCATCCAACTTAATGATATTCTTTTGATAGGGTAACGGAAGGTGAAAGTTCTTCTATACGCAGTTATACATATGCCAACTAATAATGCCTCCTGAGCTAATGGGCAATCTGAATTGAAGCAAAAGGGGGGCTGGCGATCATGACTTTACCTATTGTACAAATGAAAGCATCGCTGCATGCCATGTCGAGACAATCTTCCAACTACAATCCCATCAAGAACAGCTACATGTACTCTTCCTCCCTCCCCAACAAACTCCCATCAGGCCCCTCCCACCGATCAATATCCGGCCCCTCACACCACTCCTCCTCTTCATCCCAGACAAGCGTCTTCAATACGATCTCGTACTCATCTCGATCCTCATACGCTACCACGACATTTCTTCCCTCTATGCCCACCCCAGCCCAGCCGTCAAACTCGGTCAGCTGTCGGAGCTTCACGGCTTTCTCCTCGACATCGTACACGCATTCCTGTACGTGCCGAACGGGGCTATCCTTTTGGCTGGTCAGGACAAAAACGCGAGGCTCTTCGTTCCAGGAGGCTGCTACCAAGGCTGAGTCGATGATGATGCCTGCTTCCTCGTCGATTTTGAGGTAGACGTCGACTGGCAAGCGGTCAGCAAATGAACAATTGTATGATAGCCCTTAGATAAAGAGCTCAGAACGACAGCGAGAACATTCTTGTGGACGTACCTGTGTAATCTTCACCGTCCAAGGACCGAGAAGCCTTCATCAGTCCATAGCTCCCGTCATGAATGCCAGGCATAAACAGATGTAACCCAGCGAAATTGACACATGCAGCCACTTTCGTCGGCGCGAATAGCTTCTTGTCCCGCACCTCTCTTGCCTCCCAACAGCCAGCCGGCGTATCGCGTTCAAGCTCCACGGGCAGAAACCTGTTGGGACCACTGCTTCCACAATTAGCCTTGCTACTTTGCCTGGGATTGATATCCGCGGATAGATCAGCTTAAGCTTACCCCGTCAGGAACGCCCATTGCTTCCCCCATACACTGGGAGGGGCATCAAGAGCTGGTGATGGATCGAGTAGGACAGGCGAAATGCCCCCCTTTGCCAGTTTCTGGACGCATTCTGGGACTGTGACTCTACTGGCAATATTTTCGTCGATGGGCCACTGGAACTCGAGCATGGAGTCGTGTCGACCGCTAGCAAGAAAGGTGACCTGGGGATTGGATATGAGTTTTGTTCTCCCGGAGGGTATGTGAACGTAAACGATGTGCTACTCACCACTGGGGTTTTCAGAGGATCGTCGAAGTGGCTGATGCCAAAGGTATATTGGTCGTCATATCCTTCAGAGATCCGGACCGGCTTGGGCAGCCTCGCCCAGTTCCCGTTTTCCAGCCTGTACTGCCAGATTCTCTTTGTACGATCACTGAAGCGATAGTAGCGGAGACCTTTGGGTGTCGTAATGAGCGGCATGGTTATGGAGTGGCGTCAACACCTCGCCTCAAACAGAGCAGAAGAGGAGATGAAGCTGAGTGATGTAGAGATATCGAGATGAAGTTGGCACACTTTATACTTATGTTCTCCCCACGTGGGCGGTGTCCACACAGCTTACCCTCCCTTCCTTTGGGATCATTAAGACCTTTTGTGCTCAACCGGTAGAGATAATGCTGTGGTGCCGAGATCCCTCGATTCGGCGAGTCGAAACACATGCTCTATCCGCATCTGAGCATAGTTTAGATTGACTTGCGATGGGGGAGCAGCATTCTGTAGTAATATAGAGCGACTCGACCTCGTGTAGCATCTTCTCAATCTATTACTGGCGGGGGTTGTCGGCAGGTTGCAGGTAACCTTGAGTCCCATGAACGTCTTCTAAACCCCGTGTGAAGCTGTCAGCAACGAACATAAACGGGAATACCTGTAGCTTCCATACGCAGCTTAGCCTTCGGCATGTAGCCGGGCTTCAGGGGAGGGAGGGGCGGATGATCCGCTGCTCTATTGACGTGCCTCATCCCCCTCCCAAATATGTTGTAACAAGGGATTTCCATGCCCCAAGATGCCCATCTCTGGACTGAGTAAGTTGGAGAATGGATGTGACTCTCGTGTGCAGTCTCCCGTCAAGAGCAGTGGATGAACGTCGGACAAGGTAGATGAAGGTTATATTAATCCGTTGGGGAAGATGACTTGTTTATCGCTCTTCTCCATTGTAATCTCTGGAATAAAAGTGCCAGCCTATCAGACGAGTGCCGGGAGAACACAAGATACCGTTGTTACACGGAAGACGACGTCAAAGGTGACAGAACCCCTCGTGAATTGATTGTCATTAATTGCGCTGCTGCAACTTCGGCGCTTCGATCGGTTGTTGCCAACATGTAGTCGAAGAAAGAGAGGGCCTTGATCTCTCCCCCCTTGAGACCGAGCAATTGTAAGTCTTCCTTCAGGCGGGAACCTACACTCCCAGTGTAGTCGTCGACACTTCGAAAGGAGCTGTTAGCTCTGCATTTCGCACTCGTCAATTATGTCCTTTGGGGGAGAATGCAGGGTATCGATCCTGTTCAATCTGTCGTAATATCCGAGACGAGTTAAGCATCAGCAGCCTTGTAGATCCATGAGAAGACCGTTGAAAGGTAGTATACTTGTAAGGGACAGCCAATCAAGGAGGCCATAGTGTACCGCATAGGCATCAAAGCAGTATCGCCAAGAGTCCGATCCCTGGACGAAGCAATTGCTCATTCGTACTTGACGCAGGCCAATCGCTTCGTATGCGGACGTACGCCCGCTGCTTATTGCTGCTGACACCCTGCCTCTTCCTTCACCGGGGTCAACTGCTCGACTGGGTACCGTACCCTGGAGATTTACCAGGTTGGCATCTCCCCATGAAGGTGTGCTTGGCCCCGACTTTACTTGTATACTTGTGAATGCCGTATAGGAACACTCTCCGTTCGACTATGCCGTGCGCACAAGGGATCTCCCCGAATTCTCCGGCTTCGACTGCAGAATAAGCTTATTTTGGCTTCCCATATAATATGAGACGATTCTTCAGAATGGCTCCGAGTATTTGTGAGCTTGACGACCCAAGCATATCGATACTATCTGCTTTTGCGATCAGTGAAAACATTCGTGCCTTGTATTGATAGTGACGTTCGTTGTCCCGATCGGGTCCGGCGATGGCATCATTGGCGCATCTCCGTATAAATCCCGGAATGTGCGGAAGCTTGCGTAGCTCGACTGACGGCAACGGTGTGATGCCATCCGTAGTGAAGCTCTTCTTCATCGTATCACCACCAATTCGCTGAAAGGCAAAGGCCTCTTTCGTAAGCGCTTGTGGTTGTAGCTTGCGCACGGACAAGCTTGAAGCCGAACTTGCGAAGCAAAACCCCATGAGAGACAACCCACGTCACTCGGTGTAATGCATCGCCGGGAGCAGCAGAATCGCACAGTCCAGGCCTCATCCCGTCATATCGAAAGCACTGTAGCCACCGATACAATCGCCCTTTTGTCCGCTCGCATGGGGGGCGAACTCCAAGTTCTGTCATCGCCAAGTCAATCATATATATAGATGCATCAATGGAGGAGGATCCGCCGTCGTACCAGGAAGCGAACCAACAGGCCAGCTTCTCCCAGGCCGGCCCGCAAGACGAAGTCCTCTCGCCGACGACATTCTACGTGGCCGGCCGCTTCATCCACTCCGCGGATGCCGGAGCTCCGCCGCTGTACGAGCTCTCCCACTCGGTGGGCTTTCTCAAGGACGCGGACCGGAACGTGCGCGTCGAGAGACTCGAGTACTCAATCAAGCGGCGCGACGGCGTGGCCCAGCTGGCGGCGCGCAAGAGGCACATATATGACCTGAAGCATCCCGTAGGGGTGACAGGCCCGACATTTGCGTACCACGCCGAGCCTACGTCGCGGCAGAGCCTTTATGCATTTGGCCTGGAGAGCTTTCGGCCGAGGAGACTATCTTCCGCCAAGGGTTATCGCATATTGCGGGCCACGCATTCACAGGAGCATCGGCTAGTGCGTCGTGATGTGCTCTTTTCGGCGCTCCCTGTCAAGGATCACAGTGTTCGGTATGAATGGAGCGATGCAGGCGGCCAGCTTGTGGCGCGAGAGGTGGACATAGACGGCTTGATGACGATGGTCGTCAGCGCCACGATGAGTGCTGGTCAGAGAGACGTGTTGATATCTGCGTGGATGTCAAGGATCTGGGCAGAGCTTGCGAAAAGGCAATGAAGACGAGTCCTCCCCCGGCTAAGAGACTGCTTCCTAGCCGTATCAGTGTGTCTCGACCCGGAGTCAAGGTTGAAGGAATGAGCATATGTACTTGGTAAGCTTCCCTCCTTCTCAAGAGCTCAATTTCGGCACTGACACCACCAGGCGGGTCAACGCAATCATGTTGTCATGGATGGATTTGTATATAGAGCTTTTCAGTATATATCCCATAAGCTCACTTTTCCGTCCTTTGCTCCGGCTGCAATCCAGTGTGCTGTCTTTGCAAGGTGAAGCCTGCGGTCTTTGACGCTCATTCCTGCCCCCCTTGTCAGGCTCCTAATCTGCCAAGACTCAATCGAATCCTTTTCTTGAGATGCATCAGTGGTATCTTTCGTGTCACTTTCAAAAGCCTGCTCGGACGCTGTAGGTTGAGAATTGGCCGAAGGAGCGCCTGGCTCGTCGACAGAGGCAAAAGCAACAGCATAGGCTCCAACTTTGTGCCAGCTCAACACGGCCAGTTCCTTCAAGGTCTTTGCTGAGTATATGCGTATCTTGGAATCCCATCCAGCCGTGGCCAGCAGCTTTCCGTCGGACCTGACTTTGAGGCTTTGTTGGCCAGAGTGCTTTGTGTTAACCACTTTGAGTGGATGCTCCCATTCTTTCAGTTTCTTGGGCCTCGATTTTGTTTCTGGAGGTGCAGCAGCGTTCAAAGCTGCTGAGAGCAGAGATTTTCCCGTATTACTCTGATCGGGCTCAATTATTTCGACAACTCTCTGATTTGGCTCAGCGTTAGCATCCACTTCCTGGCGGGAAGTCGGAACAGGATGCTTCGCTATCAAGGCGTCTGCTGCCGAAGTGAAGAAGCACTCTCGGTTCGGATGAACATCTATGGATAAAACCGGCTGCGTGTGTGCTTGAGACCGGTAAGTCATCGTCCAGGCGCCATCAGAGTCAAGCCGATGTACAGAGACAAATCCGTTTTCGAATGCTGCAACGAGTGTCAAACACCCCTGGTGGTGGAAAAGAGACAGGCTCATGGCCATGCCATTGGTCTGGCTAGACTTGATGGTGTGGATCCTGGTTTGGCTTGGGAGGGTGTAAATGTCAATCTTGAGAGCTCATCAGTTAGAAGCCCACGCCCTGTCAAAATGTCACGGCTACTTACGGCTTCAGACGCCAGTGTATTGGGGACGGCGAGAAGGACCTGCGCCGTGGAGGCGGCAGCGTCTAGAGATCCTTGGGCGGCGTCACCGAGACATGCAGCGAATGAGCAAAAGTTCATCGTGTTGACCTCGAGGAGGTGAAGCACCCACGGCTGAGGGCGTGGCGTGGGGGTTTCTTCCAGGGGTAGCGCGGCGCTGAGGCGACCCTCGTCCTCCTCCCTGATCCTCCACACAATGAGTTTGTGGTCGCGGCCATGGCTTTGAGGATCCAGTCAGTGAAGATAACAAAAGACCTGGTTCCCTGAGGCGAAGAACGTACGTGATGATGTTATCGCGGCCCCATCCCCTGATGCCGAGAATTGCATTTTCGTGAGCCCTCCACACGGCCCTTGGCCGCATGATGGTCAGGTCCCAGAGCACAACCCAGCCCTCGGCATCGCCCGTCGCGAGGCGCTCGTTGTGTCTCACGAACGTGGCGGCATGGATCTGGGCCTTGTGCCCTCGCAGTACCGCCTTTGGCGACGGCGTTGGTTCAGCCATGGGTGCTGCGTACCAAGATTTCTCCCCGCCTTTTGTTCAGCCAACGCGACCGGTGCTTGCCAGCTGAAACATTGCTCGTCACCCAAGCAGAGAGGAGCACTCCATCAGCAGTAAAAGAGCGCCTGTCCAAGTTCCAAGGTTGTGTCGTGTGTATGTACATGTAGTTTGTGACAGTGGACGAGAATGTCGAGTTGGGTCATACAAGAGCTTAAGTTGTCATCGGTCACGTGCGCTGCCAATATGTACTTGTACACCTCGCACAGCTTCGACCCTCGAGCAACTTTCCTTCTCCATCACCTACAGACCCCTTCTCTCCTCTGAAGTTCTCTCCTCTTTACATAAATAGAGCACACTCAAAAACATCAGTGACGCGGTCAGAATGTTTCAACACGTGGGGGGGCAAATGAACAAAGGCCGTATCCTCAACGTCATCCAAGGGCCCGTGACCGGCGACCTACAGCCTGCTCTTATGCTGCGTTACCTCCAAGGTCTCAGACTTCTGCTACCTCAGCGAGCCATCTTCCAATCTCTTTGGTCACAGCAAGCGACGATCCTTATCCCCGCGAGGCACCAGAATGGCCGGGCAGCTCATAATATTACTTCATTTCTGACTCCCCTCTGAGACATGCATATGGACCTGGGGAGCTGACCATTGGCCTTGGTGATTCCGGATTGGCCTACGCCTCGAACCAGCCTTGTTAGGTGCTCCCGATAAGACTGGCCTTTGCTTCCAGGCCTCCGCATGGACAGAGAGGAGGGGAACTCCTACATCTCATAGGGCGAATCCATGTGTCCTGGCCCCCTCCCATGTTTGTTAGGCATGGCTCTTATGGATCAAAATATCCCGCGGCCAAGTACTAGTCGTTGCCTTATTTGCTTTTTGCAGCAGCAGCAAGCCACCGCCACGGGTTCTCAGCAGGCCAGGCTACTACTACTACTACTACTACTACTACTACCTACGACGGGGCTGATGCCCGAAAGCTTTATGCGGGCTCGGCGAACGCCATATCTTCAGACGCCTTGCTGGCAGCAAGCCAAGCAGAGTCGGGCAGCAACAGAGCATGTGCTTGAACGTGCTTGAACATGATGGGTCTGTTTAAGATGCTGCGTTGCAGACTGGTTCTTCGGCGTGCGTCAGAGTAGTCTCTGGAGGATGTATGAAGTGCTTGGGACTGGCATCTTACGCACTGCTTGCTCCAACAACAGCGGAGGTAGGTTGTTGACCGGTCAAGGGCATCCAGGAGCTGATGGGGTCAAAACAGCTGAATACTTGCAGCAAGCCTTCGAGATACACCGTCCATCATCTCGACAGGACGCGTGCCACTGCCCAATGACGATGAAAAGAACCGCCGTCACGACTCGCTGCCAGAGACCTCGAACCTGTGGATGCTCACCGAGTTGAGCTGAGAGGCATCCTCCAAGTGCTTTGATGTGTCCGGTCAATGGTCACACCCATGCCAGCAGCTCACCTCATTAAGCATATACGCATATACTACTCCTAGTATGTCTTACAGCAACTTGCAGGCCCTGAGTGGACCGAATTGCTGCCAGTCCTGTACAAGCGAGAGGAATTTGGCCACTCAGGAGTGCGTGACATGCTCCCTTGGCCTTTCTCAAGCCCGCGGACATGTGCATTTCACGCTATGTACAAGTTCAAGGCAAGATACGGCCTACGGCTACTGCTGAAGAGATACCAGGCGCCTCAGGCCATCCCACGCCCGCTTGCTATCTCCCTCAAGTGAGCCACGGTCGAGTCCGGGTGCCCCTAGGTGCCAAGCTCTGGTCAAAGCCCGCAGTGAGGGACGAGGGTCGCCCGGTCTTGTGTTCACAGTGGTCAATGTCCATGTGTGGTCGCCCAATGCCCCTGTAATCCAAAGCATATCACTTGGCATCGGTGTTACAAGAACTGGCAACAAAAGCTCTCTCGAGCACCGGCTTACACCCTCATTCCATGTTCCATCTGCACTGTCTCCTCACTTCTTTGTAGACTTCCCTGGACAAGACAGACGCCAAACATCTCGTATCACCGTCACATACGCTAGTGCAATCTGGCCTGGACCCGACAGCGGAAACAAATCATATCCCTCAGACTTGAGTTGTGCCCGACGTTGGCTTGAGAGCCCCCTCATTTGCCAAAGAGGCCTTTCGGGTGCTGACGCTACCCTCTCTGCCCCTAGAGGCTGGTTGTACGTTTGTATATATCCTCCTGACAGCAAGTCAGTATCCAGCATGCTGTAGCCCAACATCTTCACCGCAAGATGCAAATCGGCACTCCACGTTGAATAAAGTCGCCTATGATTTCAACGACACCTGGTATACGACGTACGGCATCTACAAACTCTGAATGAGCGTTGAGATTGCGAACGCCTGGTTCAGTAATGCCAACTATGCCGCATCAGAAACCGACTCCAGCGTCATTTTACGAGGAATAAGGTACCACTACCTGCTTCTTGGGTACAGCATCATACCTCAAGTCGTCTCTATCAGATCATCAACCTGCCCACACTAGAGAGATATAATAGGTATGATGAAACGTTTTCTAACGACTGCCTCATGAATAGGAGTCCAAACTAATCTTCTGAGAGGGCAGAGATTACGGCTTAAGACGCCCCTGGCCTAGGAATCGCCGAGCCCACATCTTTGCTTCGATCATTTGACAGAGTTCAGCTATGCACGCAGAATATCCTGGCAGTCGTCCTTATCATATATTATCGCCAGCCGCAGAGGTGACGATGAAAGACATCGATCGAGGAGATTTAGCCATGCCGAAGCCTACAACCAAGTCGAAGCGAGTCCGCACCGGCTGTTTAACATGTCGAGGCCGCCACTTGAAATGCGACGAGGCTGTTCCGATATGCCGAAACTGCGAAAAGGGCGGTCGAAAATGCATACGCGGAATTCGACTCAACTTCTCAAACACTACGGTGCATGATTCGTCTTACATGGTCCCCGTCGGTACCCGAAATTGTATGGTCGGGCGTCCCAAGTTGCCGTGGCTGGTCCTGAGCTGATTGTCATTCACATTTGTCTAGTCATGTTCCAAGATGATTCTCGGCGTATCGCTTCGGAGTACAAGGGCGGGTCAAGCAGATATGCAGTTATTCCGCAGAGCCCGCCTGCCGAATACAACATCAAGGCGGAGCTGCAGTCATCGAGTCCGGATCCGGAACCAACCGAGCATATCCTTCAAGGGCACATCTGGCATATCTACATATCACCAGAATGCTCAAATTCAACAAGGAGTATATATAGCGACAGCTTGATACTCCAAGCAACCGAGTGGCGCAAGGGAGGTCAAGTGGAATCAGGGCCAATGAGCCTGTCGGAAGTCGAAGATCGATCGAATGTCAGCGAGCCCCCCGAAGACGACAGCGTCACCTGCCCAACGACTACGATTGCCACTTCTGAACGAGAGTTTCTCGACACGCCTGAGCAGGTCCGGTATATGCAAATCTACGTAGAAGAGGTTGCAGCCTGGATGGACTCGTTCAACAAGGGCAAGTACTTTGGCGAGTGTCTGCCATACCGAGCACTCGACTCTCCTTTGCTGCTCTATTCCCTCCTGGCGTGCGGAATACGACGCCTGGCACATCGCCACCCGGATATGGGGGAAATAGCTGCAGCATACTACAGCACGGCCAACATGCACCTCTTCCGCTACCACGAGAATCCAGAACGAGACGTACAAGACTGTTCCATTGTAGCGGTCATTCTCAAGCTCTACAACGTCATGTTCAGAGAAGGGCCGCAGAGCGGGGGTCATAGCCTTGCCGTGCTCAACTCCATCATTGGCGAAAGCCGGTGGAATGCAGAGAGCGACGGCATCGGATCGGCATGTTTCTGGCTGAATGCCTACCTAGACATTGTGGGAAGCCTGGAAGCTGGCTACTGTCTGTACGTCGACTCATGGAGCGTCGATGTGGGTTTTCCCGGCGACTGCGGCCAAGTGATGACGCACAGGGGCGAAGAGCTGTGGGTGCAGAGGATGCTCTTCATCCTGGCCAAGGTGATAAGCTGCCGGCTGTGTGTGCTGTCGTTTACAGATATAGATTTGCGGGAGAACAGGACGCTGGAGGACCGTCTGCCGGAATGGAAACACTTGAAGCAGCTTTGTGATCAGTGGAACGATGCATGCCCGAGAAACATGCGGCCATTGGGATACATGTACCCTGACCAAGCAGAAAACAACTCTGCCTTTCCGAAAGCATGGTAAGACTGGGGGATGCGATTTCTCTGCACTGTATTATCGAGGAGCTGACACTCGTTTTAACCAGGCTCCCTAAAAGAGAGGCGGTATTTTGTCGACTCTTGTACCACACGGCACAGTTCATCCTCACTCAGACGCATCCGTTGGAGCAAATGATGCTCTCGGAGGAAATGATTCAGCTTCAGCTGCACCATGCGCGAGAAGTCTGCGGGATCGTGGCCCACACAGAGGATCGCTATTTGGGACCGATCTCGAGACAGGCGCTGTTGGTTGCGTCAAGCGCCTTGACGGAAGACGAGGAGCAGATTGAAGTTTGGGATGTTCTACAGAGAATGAAGGCCCATATCTAATATCGGCAGTGAGCAAGCGAGGCCTTTTGACCGTTGCCTTTTGACTTGACCGGCCAATGGGATGACAAGAGTAGATGGGAAGGCCCAGGTTCATTCATCCAGCCGCTCTATCAAAGACTTCTTGCTAAACTTCAAACAGCACCATCTCGACAAACATAACAACAATATATATAACGCCATACGGGCGGAGGATTTTCATCCAGACACGCCATGTCATGATGACGAGCCTCCCTGCGAAAAATTCATGCTATACCCTCCTGTCTTCTCATCTTTGACCATTTTGAAATTATCCGTACTCAGCCCAAAGGGCTTCAGAATACCATCTCCTAGATTCTTCAACTTTCCCCACATCTCTGACATCTCAGCCTCCTGAGCGGCTTTTGTCCGCGGCGGCAGCGCCTTGAGCTGCGCCCGGACGGTGCGCTGGTCCGCGGGCGTCAGGCCGGGCATCTGCGAGAGAGCGCGGTAGTCTTCCTCGGCGCCGGCGAGGTTCGACCAGCCGCCTTCCTCGGAGCGGGCGCGGGCGCGGCGGAGGAGGGCCTTTGTGCGGATGCGGAGGATGTCTGCCTTGCGGGCTTCGCGGGCGGTTTCTTCTGGGGTTGGAGAGGGAGGTGCTGGAGGTGCGGAGCGGGCTGCGCCGGAGCTGATGATTTCTTCCTCTACGTCTTCTTCGCCGTCCTTGGTGTTCCTTGGGGTAGTAGTGTCATGCTTGTTTGAAGTGTCGTCTGTGGTATTATCGACTTTGCAGTCTTTTGGACTGAGTTCGCTCTCCAGCTTCGCCAGGCTGTCGAGTGCGTCCGAGGCAGCCTTGGTGGCATCCTTCCATTGCTCCGTTTGCAAGTGGCAGGCGGCAATGTTGCTTTGCAGGACGGCGCGCTCGTAGTGGCGGTAGGTTGGACATGAGGCGATGGCGTCGTTGTATCGTGATAGGGCGTTGTGGTAGTCTTTGGCGGCGAAGAGGGCGTTTGCGTCGGCTTTGATGGCGTGGGATTCTTGGAGGAGGGCCTGTGAAGATGGATGAGATTTCTTTGCGTTGTTGAGATGATGTGGTGAGAATGGTTATGAGAGTGAGTGGTGGATGCTGTGTATGCTATGAGACGGTCATGGTGGATTTTGAAGGATTATGTTGCATTTGGCATATGTGAATGCATTTTCTTTTGGTAATTCTTTTCGAATGCTGATGAGGTGCTTGAAGGTGATAGACTGGGGGAGTGATCTCAGGGGATTGGCCAGAAGAGCATCAAAAGTGAGGCTGATATCGCAGAGCCCAACAATGACATCAACGCTCTTTTTGTCATGTGCAAGTAAGCACTTACTGCTTCTTCCTCGGGAGCAAACCTCAGTTCTTCAGGCTCATCGTTGCCGCTCTCCTTCTGAGCTGGGTCCTCTGTGCTTGTTGAGACCTTCTTTTCCTTATCAGGTGTGGCCATGGCTTGCGTGCACTGGAATGCAGGATAATGAGTGCTGGGGATGAGATGGAGATGTGAGTTGTGGAAGCTTGGGGAACGCTGTGGCTTGGCGGAGACATTTGGGGGGGATGTCCATGATTATGTCAGCGGGCTCAGAATACACGATGGGATATGGCAGGAAGACGAACAGAGACAGGGAGCTGGAATGTGATTATGCTGGAGGATAACGATTCATTTCCTCATGCCGGACAACAATCACGAAGTCCAATTGATGGCTCGGTGGTAGTTGATTCTTGATACCACCAGATAGTATATGGCCAATTCGTCAATAGAACATTCAGTGACAATCTCTCCAATCCAGGCACAACAGCCCCGCCCCCACTTTGGAGTTGGAGATGGGAAGAGATGCAATTAAAACTCGGTGAGGCTTGGAATGGAAACGTGCATTGTGCCAATAAGACGCACGGTACAAAGTGGTAAAATTCCAGACCTGCAGAAAACCGCATAGACGCTGAGGCACCTTGATGGCCATGCGTGTTCTTTTTGGCACGCAGCTACAGATGTTTTCGCACGAGCTATCAAATCTGAGATTATTCTCACTTTCTCACGCAGCGATAGAAAAAAGTTGAAAGTGGCGAGGATAAGAATCATCCTCAACCCCTTTCACCTCCACTCATCAGAGATTTATTCTTCCAATCTTTTTTTTTGTTCATCTTGCATAGCAAGCATCTCAATACCCTCATCGTCAAGCATCCAAAAACACCAAGAAAATACCCTCGTCACTCCCAAAAATGGCTCCCCGAACCGAGTATGTCCTCCCTCTTCAACTCACGAGCAACCCCCAAGATACTCATCACAACCCAACAGCTTCCCCCCCGTGAGAGCCTGCCTCTTCGACATGGACGGCCTCCTGCTCGACACCGAGGACATCTACACGCAGTGCATCAACGTCCTCCTCAAGGAGCACTCGCAGACCCGCACCGAGCTCTCCTGGGACATCAAGGCCAAGCTCCAGGGCCGCCCCGGCCCCGCGGCCACCGAGATCCTGCTCGAATGGGCCGACCTCAAGCTCACGCCCGAGGAGTACATGGCCCGCATCGTCACCCTGCACCAGGAGCGCTTCCCCACCACCAAGCCCCTCGCGGGCGTCCCCGAGCTGCTCGCCAACCTCGTCAAGACGCAGCAGCCGGGCGAGAAGGAGCAGAAGAACCCTGATGCCAAGCCCGTGCACATTGCCCTGGCCACGAGCTCCCACCTGGCCAACTTCAAGCTCAAGACGGACCACCTGACGGACCTCTTCTCCGTCTTCCCCGTCGACCGCCGCGTGCTGGGCGACGACGCGCGGCTCCAGCGCGGCCGCGGCAAGCCCCTGCCCGACATCTTCCTGCTTGCCCTCGACACCATCAACAGTTCCCTGCCCGAGGGCGAAGAACCCATCAAGCCCGAGGAGTGCCTCGTCTTCGAGGACTCCGTCCCGGGCGTCGAGGCCGGTCGCCGCGCCGGCATGCGCGTCATCTGGTGCCCTCACAAGGAGCTCAAGGCGTACTACGCCGGACGCGAGGCCGAGGTGCTCGCCGGACGGACCGGCGAGGCGGGCGAGGTCGACATGCACCAGCTTGGCGAGCTGGACGATGGCTGGGCCGAGGAACTTGCCAGCCTCGAGGATTTCTCGTACGAAAAGTACGGCATTGTGGTTCCTCAGTGAGGGATTACCTCTGACGACTGAGATGACGGACAATCACCATTTTCTTCGAATTGATTTCTCGGATTTATAAAATGGACGAGCGGGCTTGAATGAAAGATGCAAACTTCTTTTCGAATTATGGCGTCTGCCAGATACATACAGGGACATTGCGGGAGGACCGCTGGAAAAGAAAGGAAACTGAAAAGTATCTAGACATTAGAGATGAGAACATGATGTCCTTTTTTCTTTTTTTTTATCAGTTTGAACAGCATGTATTCTCCTGCCTTGTTTGTTGCCATGATCTTATCAAGAGGTCATAGGGTAGTATTAGAGGTTCAAGAATTAGCCTAAGTGAGAGGACCTTGTATGGATATCACTTTATATAAATCATGAGTGATTCTCATGATCAGTCATCACCCCAAGTAATTCTTCAATTATTTTTTTTTTCTCAGATGGAAAAGAGCGGCATGGATGAGATTTCGCACAAGTCGCACCTTTGGCTCGCACGCTCCGTACAGAGGAGAGGTGAAGCCACCCGTGTGACGTAATGAGGGCATATAATCGTCCTCACATCTACACCATCTCACTCTTCTCATCACACAAGCCCTCATATCTCAGCTTCACCCACCTCATGCCTCCCTCACATCGCAAACATCCAACTCACGTCTAACCGAACGCTCACCGCAGTGAGAAATAAGCCGTTGGCCCCAAGTCTACGACAATGCCCCCCTTCTCCCTCACGCAAACCCTCCTCGCCTCCGACCCCCGCGCCCACCAATCCGCCACCCAATCGCCCTTCCTCGCCCTCGCATCCCAAGGCCGCCTTCCAAAGTCCCTCCTCGGGCAATGGCTCGCCAACGACCGGCTGTACATCCACGCCTACATCCGCGGCATCGGCCGCCTGCTCAGCTTCCTGCGGCTGCCCGACGTGGTCCACCCCCCGCTGCTGCGCGACGACAAGGCGGAGCGGGAGGCGAGCGTCGAGGAGAAGCTGCTCCACTGGATGATTGACGCGCTGGTCAACATCCGGCGCGAGGAGGACATGTTTGTGCGCACGGCGGCAAAGTACGGCGTCGACGTGAATCTCGCCGCTGGGCCGGACGGCCGGATCGCAGCCAGCACGAAGCTCGAGGGCTTGCGGCGTTTCGAAGCTCTCTTTGACGGAATCTCACCACCTCCTCCTCGCGACCAAGGCGGCGTCGTGCTTCTTCCCTGGCTGGAAGCTGCCGTCATCTTCTGGGCCACGGAAAAGTGCTACCTCGACGCCTGGTCAGGCGCGGCCGCCCGGCAGCTCTCCGACGATGCTGCCGGGGATGACAACGATGCCGATGGCGGGGCGCTCCGGCGGGAGCTCATCCCGAACTGGAGCTCCGACGAGTTTGCGCGGTTCGTGGACGCGCTGGGGGAGATTGTCGACGCTGGGGTGCGGCGGGAGATGGAGCTGAAAAAGGGCGAGGGGGAGGAGGAGGAGGTTGTCAAGGCGCGGTTGGTGGAGCGGGCGCTGGGGAAGTGGCGGGAGGTGTTGGCTGCGGAGGAGGCATTTTGGCCTGCGGTAGAGGGGAGTGACTGATGAGATTCAACTGGGATACTGATGGTAAGGAAGATGCTGTTTTAGGATGGGGTGAATAAGATGCTCGGCAACGAACCGTGTAAACGGCAACGCCCGGCCAGTCAACGGTGATGCAGATCTCATCCATATCATAGACACACACATCTAGCAGATGTCACAGACCACTCCCAGATCCTTGGCTAACGCAGCAAAAGGCAAATCAGCCTCGGCGTCTAGAAGTCCATGTGGGAAGAATGATTGATGATGCGCGTCGGCTGATTTGCCATGCTTGTGGCTTGTACTCTTGTATGCTCACACATGATGCCCCTGGGGCCACCAACTAAACTACGCAAAAGGCGTGGCTGAGCGGATGGCTGAAATCTTGGCTTGCCGCCGCTTCCTTTTCGATTTGGGGGTTCGGCACGTCCCCCTCTTTCCCGCTGGTTCCATCACGGGTTTGCATGTTCTGAGGTTGGGATCATGCTCAGGTGTCAGATGGGACTTGGCCGTACGGACGGTAGAATTTCTTTACGTCTTGATGATAGTATACCCCATGTATGAACATCTGAGGCACTGCACATGCCGCCATATCTTTATCTTAACCAATCCCCTTGCAGTCCCAAGGCTTCAGTAATGAACCCCGCCAAACATCTCAGTAGACGCCGGGAATGCCGCAGCTCTTCTTGACTTCTCTACCTCAAGTGCGATCAATGAGCAGTACTACTTACATTCTCCCTGTCTATAACGAAGATCTATGAAGCAACAAAACTGTAGGCAAACTCATACCCCATCCGGGTAATACCCGTAGTATTCCATCATCTCCGTCATCCCGCCAAATCCCACCCAAGAACCAACGCCCCAGAAAACCGCAGTCACTGCGCCACTCTCCATCGCCATCGACCATTGCCCATCACCATGTACCTTGCATACGGACTTACAGTACACGCCTTCCCTACTGTAGCTCCGTTTGTAGGGATACATGTATGTAATCCTGCAACAAATCACCTCAAGTCCACAAGCCTCCTCCACCAGCCATGCTAATTCGTAGTTCCGAACATTAGCACAGCTGATAGCCTCGGCGGAGAAGGATTGTCCGGCCTTTGCGCTGCCGCATGATTGATTACCTACATGTACTTTTGCCAACTATGAAACCAATAAATCAATAAAAGAGTAAGCTTGGTCCGTCAGCTGAGGCTCTCATCCTCTTTTACTCCTCTTCAACCCATTTCCCCTCTTCAACTCTTTCTGCGCTCCAGATTTCCATTCTGTTGCGACATTTCCATCTCTCAACACCAACCAAATCCCCCCCAACTCGTCCACCATGTCCGCCCAAGACTACTACTCCAGCGCCTCCGGAGGCAGCAGCGGCGGCGGATATCCTCCCCAGCAGCAATACGGCCAGCAGCAGCCCCAATACGGCGGATATCCCCAGCAGCAAGGCTACGCCCAACAGGTTCGTCCGCTCCATCTTTCTCCCATTCAAAATCAAACAAACACAACCATCATTCCACTTGTAAATCATAATCTCAAGCTCTCCCGGACTTACACAAACGCAACAAAACAGCAGCACCAATACACCCAACCGCAGCAATACGCCCAATACCCCCCTCACCCACAACAACAACAACAGCCCCAATACCACGACGACCGCAGCACATCCCCCTACGCCCAGCCGCAATACAGCCAGCCCACATCCCCATACCCCCCTCAGCACCAACAGTACTCCCCTCCTCCTCCTCAGCAGTACCAGCAGCAGCAGCAATACGGCCAAACGCAGCCCGGCTATCCCGACCACCAGTATAATACCGCCGGCGGAAACGTGGCCCCCGGAGCCGAAGAAATTGGCCCGGACGGCGAGCGCGGCCTCGGCGCCACCCTGATTGGCGGCGGCGCGGCGGCCTTTGCGGCGAAGAAGGCCGGCGGAGGATTGCTGGGCAGCTTGGGCGCTGCGGCGGCGGGAGCGATTGGGGCGAATCTCATTGAGAATGTTTACAAGTACGTTTTTTTTCTTCTGCCTTTTTTCCGATTCCCTCTTCAAATCTCACACCCCCCCCCTTTTTTCTCCTTGCCTCAGGGCAATTCTTGCTTGGCAAATCATGAATGATGAGAGAGAAAGAGAGAAAGGGTGGAGGGGGGGGATATGGACGTTCTGTTGAGAATGAAATGGAAATGGGCTAATGTTGTTTGTTTTTTTTGCAGGAAGCACAAGGAGGAAAAGGAGATGGAAAAGATGTACAGCAACGGCGGCGGACACCACGGCCATCATCAGCACCACGGGCATCATCACCATCATAACTAGAATGGTGTGTGTTGAGGAGTATGTATGAGTTTTGCGTTTTCGCATTTGATTAGATTATGATGGGGCGGCGTTTTGATTCTTGCCTCGGTGAAGAAGCTGCTTTGATTGACTGACTCAGTGAAGAGCTGGGTTGGACCTGTTCATGTTGGTTAAAGACTTGTTCAAAGAATTCCGCATATGCTGCGTGATGGACTACCAAGTATTCACACGTTTCGGATCCGTAATCGATGCGTGGCACTGACACATTTTTTACTTCACTTGCTCGATATCAGCATGTTCAATAAGTCATTCCAACGTGGGTTTGGTATAGATCGCTTCATATGAAGCGTAGGCATCATTTCATAAGTGACATGCAGTGTTCTTGCACCGCGTGTGCTTCCAAATCATCCAAGCCAATACATGACAGTCCCATTAAACAAACAATGAAAGAAATTCCCACCCAATGGTGCCGATTAAACCTCCTCGACAGGATGCTTCTCCGCGGTCGAATCCCGCGCCTTAGCATCATAGTCCTCTTCGTGAACTGCCTTGGGCTTGTCGTCCCAGCCGGCAACCACGGCCGCGTCGTGGTCGTAGGCAACGTCGAAGCTCTTGCGGAGCTGCTCGGGCCCCAGGACGGTCAGGATGATGACGTAGGCGTAGACGCAGCCCATGAAGATGCAAATGACCTTGCCGTAGTCGTAGCGGGCGACGCCGGTGGCCGTGGGGGGCAGGGGGAAGCGCTCGCCGAGGCGCGCCTCAATGGTGGACGAGGCCGAGGACACCAGGTTGCCCAGCTGGTAGGCGGTGCCGACGACAAAGGTCCTGAAGGCGCCGGGAGACAGCTCCATCAGGTGGATGGGGATGACGCCCCAGGCGCCCTGCACGCAGAACTGCTGGAAGAAGGCGGCCGCCATGACGGACGTGTCGTGCACAAAGGTGTAGGGGTACAGCAGGGCGCCGCCCACGATGCAGCAGCAGACGATGCTGAAGCGACGGCCTAGAGACTGGCTCAAGAAGCCAACAACGGTGCCGCCGGTCATGGCGCCCAGGTTAGCGACGACCTGCGTGACGGTGACCTTGTCCGCGCTGAAGGCGAGCTGGTTCGTCAGCATGGTAGGGTACAGATCCTGGCTTCCGTGGCTCATAAAGTTGAAGCCGGCCATGAGCAGAACGAGGTAGGTCAACAGGAGCCAGTGGCGCTTGAGTGCTACCTTGCCCTCGGTGATGAAGACCTTGCCGACAGACTCGTCGCTGCTCCTGCTTCGGCCGGCCTCGATGCGCATGCGCTCGCGCTCGCGGTATGTCTGGGTCTCGGGCATCATCAGACGGAAGGCGATGAAGATGACGGGCGGGCAAGCGCCGAACCAGTACAGGGGGCGCCATCCGTGGGAGGTGGTGTTGACGAGACCGCGGGCGAAGGCAGCAGCTAGGAGATAGCCAAAGGCGTACTAAAACGAAGTCAGCATCTTGGTGCTGTCGCGGGTTTGTGGCTCAGTAGAGGCATGACTTACACCTTGCTGAAGGATACCGCTAATGATACCGCGAGCCTCTTGCGGACAGTCTTCCAGAGCCGTGGCGGCTGCGTTTCCGTACAGACCACCCATGGCAATGCCAAACAGCGCGCGACAGGCGAGGAACTGCTTGTAAGTGTTGCAGAAGCCGGTGCCCTAGGACAACATATTAGCGTCTTTTTCTTGGAATATTTTTCGTGTTAATGAAGCCGCAATCCATCATGTAAATGAGCGCAGTCAATAGCTCCGGCAGTTGCAAAAGTGCGTGCAGTGCCGCAACGATTGGCGGGGTTTGGCTGGCTGGCCAAGATGGGTGGCACCGCCGGCGCATCTTGGCAGCGTCTCACAGCCATGCAAAGCAAATCGACGAGATATAAGACATTGGGCGTTCTCACCAGTTCCAGAGCAATAAACAGCAGGTTGTTGACGATAAACGGCCACTTGCGGCCGTACCGATCGGCGGCAACACCAAACGCAATCGAGCCCACGGATCGGAACATGAGCACCAGCGTGATGCCCCAGGTAATGTCCGTGTTGGTCTTGCCAAACTGCTTGGCCAGGTCGCCCACGGTCAGGGAGACGGTGAAGAAGTCAAAGGCGTCCCAGGTCCAGGCCCAGAAGGCAATGGCGAAGAAGGACCATTGCTGGCGGTTGAGCATGCGCAGCAGCTTGAACGGATTGGGCACGTTGAGCATGGGCGGCTTGAGCGATGAGAAGCGCGTGGCCAGGTAGCGGCCCGCCGACATGCCATCGTAGTCCTCGGGCACCCAGTATTCCTCTCGGTTCCCAACCATGATGGCGGTGTTGTACTGCTATGACGGTGTGCTGTGAGACAAGGGAAGACGGGGAGGAGGAGAAGCAGAGGCCGTAGGGAAGGAAGAACAAACTCCAGCAACTGAAACAGGATGAGGGGGGTGGGAGGAGATCATATACTCGGACAGGAATCGAGAATGCGGAGCAAGAGTTGGAGGGTGAGGGGATACGTAGACGCAGTCCGCATTGGGGAACCCCAGAATGTGATCATGTATGAAAGCGGGAATCCTCCAGGGTTGAGGCTTATCTGTGCCCTTAGCCCAACTCCACGCTGCTCTGGAGCAGGCCCCCCTTGCCCGCGCCCCGGGTCACGTCTAGAACCTTGAATTGCCCTTGATTCGCCACGAGCAACAGCAACAATACACGCCGCTGCCAGGACGAACAGGCGTGCGTGATGCCACCGGTGGCATGTCGCTCCGGAGACGGGGCCAGCATGGGGCTAGACGTCGAGCCTAGCTGTCGTTCTAGCCGTGCCTCCACAGACATCGCGGCAACACAAGCTTATTTTGCTGATGGATGCTGTTGGGCCCGACACCAACATCAGCCCAGCTGAGCAAAGCATGGCCTATGTATGGTCGACCTACCACCTGTACAATGGCAAACGGGAATACGAATGCCACAAGCATGGCCGCGGGAGAGAGAGAGGGAGCGGATGTGATCCACACGGCTTGGAGCCATGCCAGGTGTCTGCCGGCCAGTAGCACACCATGGGACGAAGGAATCCGTCCGATCACCGGTGACTTGCATGGATGTCGCAAACCGACAGAGTACAATAAAGAGCCCTCTGACAGCTGGGAACGGATATATTCTGTGTGTTCGGAGTGTTTAAACCGAGCACCACGCGGGCAAAGGTGGACGCCGTATTCGGCAAGGGTCGGCGGTGTGTCCGAAGAAGGAAGAGAGGTTTGGGGTCGGCGACTGTCCGGAGCACGTTGGTCGTTGCTTGCACTTGCGAGCGGCCGCTTGTGCTTTTGGTTGAACGAGGCTTGACGGCTTGTCGAGAGCCTCGTCAGGCTTGTGGTGACCCCGTGGCGCGTTGGAAGCGTGGGACACCAGACTAGTAATGAAGTCGAGAGTGAGACTCCCATCACCAACAAACAGGAAGAATCAAAGCAACGCCCATGACGCACAACCGATCATCATCATACCATGATCCGGGGAATCTCCATCTGGGGACAATGAGCCATTTGGCAAGTGAAAAAGGGCACACCATCTCCAGATTCCCTTGCGGAGTAGGAGAGAATCTGCACAATAAGCTCACGCTCGCAAAAGTTGGCGCCGTCATAGCGTCCTCATCGGCTTTCGCATTTCCCCAGGTCCTTCTTTCCCTCACAAACCCAGTTCCCCGCCAAAGGTGATTGCTACGTATGTACTGGCCAGGGCAAGGAATAAGAAAAAGAAAAAAGGAAAAAAAAAAAAGAAAAGAAAAATCAGATAAAATAGAACAAAAGTCGCAATACTAGTTTGTCTTGTTGGACAAGGATCTGCAGCACTACACAAAGGCGCTAGGCCCGGCTTGGCATCAAATGGCAGTCACTCTCGGCACGATATTGCCGGCCTTGGCCTTGGCACTGGCCCTTGTCCAGCAACTGCGCACTTCACTGAAGCTCAACCAATCATGATCCAAGGAACGCCTCCACGCCCGCAAGGGTCGAATCAACCTTTTTTCCTTGTTAGCGCTGCCGCTTGAGATGCAAGTGCAGAAGATGCAAGACCAGGGGGAGGGAAACTCTGTTCGGGGCCACTTGCCTCATCAGCAGGCCCAGCCAGGCACCAGTGTTCCCGTTTCTTTTGGCAAAAGGCCGTATTGTTGTTCATTGGCTGGCAAGTTCGGTTCTCATTCGGGTATTGCTTTTGCTTGCCGGCCTGCCTCGCTTGAACGGAGAAATTGGAGAGCATTGCTCGTACGAGAGAAGGCGGGGAAGTGCCGCTACTTACAAGAAGAGGAGAAGAAGACTCGGAGAAGCAGATTAGAAGGCAGCAATCTTGTACTACAATGTGCACTTTCTCGGAGAAAGACCGAAGCAGATGCTTCCCGGATTGTAACGGTCTCTCTTTTCTTCTAAAACAGATGGAGGATTAATACTCCGTACGATTCAATGCATTGCATGTTTATCTGGATACCACCGTAACTTCGTACAGTAGACCCTCAGTAATAAAGCGACCCAGCAGTTTCGGAGCTCGACTGCCCCAGGGTCCCCCGCGAATACGACCCTCGAAATCTGGAAACGGCAGATCCAAAAATAACAGGACGAAATCCAAGCGAAAAGAAGCCCCTTGGTCGTGAAAAAAGCACAGACACCAATCACACGTGCTGGCTCAACTGACAATAGGCTGCTACAATAGGATTCAAGTCTTGTCCCCAAATTTGGGAATCACAAAAAATTGGGATTCGACAAGCTGCTTGGTGGAACGAACCAACAAAAGGATGAGCTGGGCGCTGGAGGTGACAATTTGGAAGTTGTAGATGATGTCAAACTTCAACGTGGACCGGTTCGAATTGGAAACAGCACGGCGTTGGAGTTGCATCTAATGCTTCTTCTCCACGCGAGCGAGGCGTTTTTACCCGTCGTTTTGGAATTGGAAAGAGTCTTGATCTACACGCGCTAGAAGTTGATACTGCAACACAAAGAAAGGGTGGTGGAGAGGCTGTAAGTGCAGCCACATGCATTCACCACTAGAACGCGGATATCCATGCCGTAGCGGTAGTGCAGCTAGGAATATGTACTACTAGAAACCATCTGCATCCTTCGTTCTTCTCAGCCCCAGCTCGCAAACACTTCCACGCCCTCTATAGGTTGGTACATACATACCTACATGCACGCGCAGACATGCGGCAGTATCACTCCAAGGCCATACTACTTGAGCCATTCCGTCTCAATTCACACAGCCATGGGGAAGAAGAATGAGTACTCGTGTTCATCACATGTAAGGGACCTGCTCCGCTGCACCACACATCCTCCCATCGGAATTTCCCATCTTCTAAGTTCATTGATTGCCAAACGCCCTCCTCCGCAATTCTCTTCTTTTGCGACGGTCCTCTCAGTTAGACCCGGTTTGTTATCGTTCTCTCCATGTAATACTATGTCTGGCTCTAACCCGTAGGAAGTGCATAGCATGCCAATCCCTTACCCCAACTGCTCTACTGTAATAACTCTCTCGACAACCAACCACACAGGAACACCCCAGAACAACATCTGATACTACCAACCCTCATTCCTCCACACAGCATGAATCCCGCCCCCCCGGGCTTTCCCCACGCCCCAGCTTTTCCCTCCTTCTCCACAGCACCATCAAAGACCCCAAAATGTCAGCAGCATAATACCCTTCTTCTCCAACTTCCTTCATACATACATGGCGGCCCCAGCCCATTGGCCCGATCTGCGGAGGATAAAGGGGCAAACTCGGAACAATACGGGAACGTGATTACTTTTCGTAGCTTCGTGAAACAAAGACGGGGTGTGGAATCTGGAATCTGAAATCTGGAATCACACATGGAAACATTCACCATAGCTCTCACGTCTCATCAGCAATCATTTCCAACTTCTGCTATCGCATGCCTTGAAATAAGCTTATACGAACATCTTCGTACGGGGTACAGAAGCACAAGGTAGGTTAGCATGCTGTCTTGGTTCTCACGTAGCTCTTCTGGGTTCGTCTTCAACAAGCCATGATTCTTATCTTTTGTTTCTCATTACCAAATACAAGTATTCTTGTTGCATCAAGTCAATTCCAGCTGAAACCAAAAAACCGTCAAGGCTATCAAATTGACTGATACTCGTCATTACATTAAACCCCAACGCCTTCTCCTCCCGCCCTCCCTCCGGGGTATCGGAAAACCAAAACGAATCCAGTGTAGTGAAGAAGAATTAAGGAGACTTGCCCAACCAATAGTCCTACACAACCCCCCCGTATTAAGTCAGTCCGTAACTTCAAGTCTCCCTATTTGCTGTCATTATATTCGTCTTGACGAATGACGTAACTTTTTGTGTAACCTCCTTCTGTATCGTAGACCTCACAGTATACGTGAAGCGTCCTTTGCAAAAAGAATCAAGACAAAAAGGGACGAGCAGACTGCGGGCCCATTGTCTCGTCTCTAGATTGCGTGTCCAGCGAGTGTCATCAGCATCATGGCCCCATCCGTATCTGCAGATGGTGATGCCTCACTCGCAGCCTCGAGTCAAACTCCGCCACCCATAAAGGCAGCAAGGTCATCGTGGTCCATGAGCTGGCGCTCAAAAGCCAAGCACAGCTCTGGGGAAGTCATGTCCTGGCTCGTGGTCTGGCCGCCGTCATGGGGCGAGACCATGCCGTTTTGAGCATCCTCAGGGCTCTGCTGCTTCACGTCTTGCACCTGCATGTTCGCCTGAGGTGCGCTGGGCGGTGGCGGAGACACAGTCTCCGGCGTGGCAATGTTGTTGCCGTTGATGGTGGTGACGCCGGGCCGCCGGGGAAGGGTAATGGGCGGCTCGCTCTCCCCTCGGGCAGAGCCGGATACCGAGCGATGCTCGACGCCCTGCTGGCTGGGAGGAACACTGGTGGCCGGCTGGTCATACTCCATGGCGTCCGGATTGGTGTCTGCATTCGACGACATCTCATCCTTGATGCCTGCCGAGGAGGACATGTGAGGGTGAGACTCGTGGGGAGCGCCTTGGGAGCTGTTCAGAACGCGCTGCATGACGGTCAGATGCCTGAGCCAGCTGTTGAGGAGCGGCCAGCTCTCGTTGCCATCGCGCATGAAGCGCAGTCCGTCCTTGACAATGTGCGCCGCCGTCTCGACGGCATTGGGGGGCGTCAGCCTCTTGAGCGAGAGGTAGGCGACGGTCGCGCTGGCGGTGAATGCGGAGAAGAGCATGAAGATGGGGAAGCAGGTGGCATGGTCCTTTTCGCCGCCAGACTCGATGGCCGTCAGGAGGAGAAGGGTGCCGTGGCACGAGGTGAGCAGGCGATCAATGATGTCGTGGCATCGAGAGGTCATGCG